ATCTCATGGCCCTGAAACCATGAATTTTTTTTTTAAGATTTTATTTATTTTTTCATGAGAGACAGAGAGAGAGAGGTAGAGACACAGGCAGAGGGAGAAGCAGGCTCCATGCAGGGAGCTCGACATGGGACTCGATCCTGGGTCCCCAGGATCACACCGTGGGCTGAAGGCAGACGCTCAACCGCTGAGCCACCCACTAAGCCACCCGGGCTGCCCAGCAAATTGAATTTAAATAAAAAAAGAAAAAAGAAAAAAAGCTGGGCAGCCCAGGTGGCTCAGCAGTTTAGCGCCACCTTCAGCCCAGGGTGTGATCCTGGGGATCCAGGATCGAGTCCCAGGTCGAGCTCCCTGCATGGAGCCTGCTTCTCCCTTGGCCTGTGTCTCTGCCTCTCTCTCTCTCTCTCTCTCTCTCTCTGTGTCTCTCATGAAAAAAAATAAAATAAAATCTTTTTTTTTTAAATAAAATCTTTTTAAAAAAGTCTACTTCCTCAGGTTTTTTGTTTGTTTAGTTAAAGGATAAATATGCAGATTTTTAAGGTTGGGAAAGAAGTTCTAGTAAAAAAGACACATAAATATCTTTTTAGACACATAAATATTTACACACAGAAATATCTTATGTGTCCTTTAAAAACACCTAAATATTTGCCAACATATAATACCCAGTGCTCATTCCATCAAGTACCCTCCTCAGTGCCTGTCACTCTTGTTCTTTTTGTGACCCTGGGGGCCCTGAGATGATACTGTCCCACCTGGGATCCCGTCCCCATGATCACCTTTCAGGAAGACTACAAAAGTTCTGATTTTTGTGTTCACTGCTTCTAACACTTTCCAGTAGCGGCTTTCGGAGGCTCCCTACCCCTGCGGTTTATCTTCCCATATACGGCCTCCGATTCACGTCTCTAAACCTCCTACCTTGCAAAAAGTAGTTGCTTTTCTATTGGTAAAACTGCAGCAATTCTTTTCTCAGATCTCCGGTTGATTTTGCAGGTGTTCAGAATGACTTGGTAACTATTGAGCTGAATTCCAGGGACCAAAGTTAGGGTCCTCTACTCCTTCTTCATCTTAAGTCTTCTTGAACTAGTGTTTTTGTATTTTTTGGGGTAAATACTCAGTGGTGTATTTGCAAGTTCTTCAACTATTTTAGACATTAAACCTTTTTAAGATATGTCATTTGCAAATATCTTCTCCCATTCTGTAGGTTGCCTTTTGGTTTTGTTTCTTTTGCTGTGAAGAAGCTTTTTATTTTGATGAAATCCCAGTAGTTTACTTTTGCTTTTGTTTCCCTTATCTCAGGAGATATTTCTAGAAACATGTTATGGCAGATGTCAGAGAAATTACTCCCTGTGTTCTCTTCTAGGTTTTTTTTTATGGTTTCAGGTCTGACATTTAGGTCTTTAACCCATGTTGAATTTGTTTTTGTGTATGGTGTAGGATAGTGGTCCAATTTCATTCCTTTTTTTTTTTTCAAGATTTTATTTATTTACGAGAGACAGAGGGACACACACACAGAGAGAGAGAGAAAGAGAGAGAGAGAGAGAGAGAGAGAGAACGAGAGAGAGAGAGAGAGAGAGAGGCAGAGACACAGGCAGAGAGAGGAGGGGCAAGCTCCATGCAGGGAGCCTGATGTGGGACTTGATCCCGGGACTCCAGAATTATGGCCTGACCCAACGGCAGATGCTCAACCACTGAGCCACACAGGCGTCCCTCATTCTTCTGCGGTTTTCCCAACACTGTTTGTTGAAGGGACTGTCTTTTTTTCCCTGGGATAATTATTTCCTGCTTGGCTGAAGATTAATTGACCATAAAGTTGTGGGTTCATTTTTGGGTTTTCTGTTCTGTTGATCTGTGTATCTATTTCTGTGCTAGTACCATACTGTCTTGATGCTTACGACTTAATAATACAACTTAAAGTGTGGAATCGTGATGCCACCAACTTTGGTTTTCTTTTTCAACATTCTTTTGGTTTTGGGGGATCAAAAGATGTGGTGCCATGCAAATTTTAGACTTGTTTGTTCTAGTTCTTTGAAAAGTTCTGTTGGTATTTGATAGGGATTGCATTAACTGTGTAGATTGCTTTGGGTACTATGGACATTTTAACGATGCTTGCTCTTCCAATCCATGAGGATGGAATGTTTTCCTGTATCTTTGTGTCATCTTCAATTTCTTTGATCAGTGTTTTATAGTTTTCAGAGTATAGGTCTTTCACCTCTTTGGGTAGGTTTATTCCTAGGTATCTTATTGGACTCAACAGATTCTTGTTTTACTCCCAATTACTATCATACTTCATTGCTCACGTTGTCCCACTTTTGGCCAGTGAGAGCTTCTGCAAGCTGGTTTGTCCACATTCCCCATGATTTTTTGAGCACAGGTTCCAGGCTCATCTTGTCCTTTCTCTGTTCCAGCCCTAGGATCAAATCAGCCACTTCTCTAAGGAGCCCTGATCCTTTGTATTGGGGATTGATATTTATCAACCAAGATCTGGATACTAAGTGCTAGTTGCTACTGGGTGTCACTGCTTCTCAAGCCTCTCAGTGGACAGGGCTGGGCCAGTGTGTGCATGTACTGCACCTGTCATGTGTATGTAGGTGAGCTGTGCATCTATGGCTCTATGTTTGTGTGTTTTATTTTTTTTATTTTAAAGATTTGATTTTATTTATTCATGAGAGACAGAGAGAGAGAGAGAGAGAGAGAGAGAGAGAGAGAGAGAGAGAGAGAGGCCCAGGCAGAGGGAGAAGCAGGCTCCACGCAGGGAGCCCGATGCGGGACTCGATCCCGGGACTCCAGGATCACGCCCTGGGCTGCAGGCAGCGCTAACCCGCTGAGCCACCCGGGCTGCCCCTGCCTATTCTTTAAGTGGAAGTTTTATAAAATATTTTCTTTTCCACTTTGAATAGTCTCAGACCTTCAGATGGCTGATGGAGGGAGAGCTCCGCTCCCGCCGTGCAGCTCTGCGCACGCAAGCCCCTGGCAACCCAGGCCATCTCCTGGCCTGCCCCATCACTTTCTGGGCACGTCCCCTGGTCTGGGTTGCCTTCTGGGTAAGGTGGCGCTCGCACCTCCCGCTGCATCTGTACGGGGTTAAATAGCACAAATGTGGAAGCAGCCCCCGACACAGGTGCGCTTACCTGACGTCTCCGTGGCCGAGAAGGTAAAGGTGTGTAATCAAGTTACTTTCCAGTCTGCCCGTCGGTTCATAGATGTTCCGTTTGCCAGGGTGGCTTTCCCATTGAGTATCGGATGACTCTGGATGACTGGGGGACTGGGGACTTAGCTCCTCCCACAAAGCCTCTTCTGCTCTTCCAGTGACTGTTGAACCAGCCTGGTGAGCCTGTGGCTGCCCTGCCCTCTGCAGGCCTAGGATGACTCAGCCAGAGCCTGGCCTTGGGACGGGACCCTTCCTGCCAGCAGCCACAAAAGTGACAGTAATAGAGATCAGAAGAGGTTGAGAGCACAGCCTGTTGATGCGGGCACCAGGGCAGGCGGAGCTGGCGTGAGCCGCCATCCAGACCATGCTGTGGATGGTGAGCTCTGTGCGTCGTGATCAGAGACGGTGCTGGTTGTCGAGGACACAGCAGGACAAGGTCCTTGACCCTTAAGGACCATGTAGAGGAAGGAAACCACGAGGCACCACAGGACTGAGCAGAGGCTGGACGTGAGGCCCCAGGAGAGATGTGCAGGGCTGGTGCGGGCGAGCCACTGGGCGGACGCTGGGGATGATGATGGGGATGAGGAGTAGTCACGTGCGGGCCGCGCCCAGAAAAGGCCCGAGTGTTCCAGCAGAACTGCCAGGCAGCGGGAGCACCAGGCAGGGGGAGGAAGTAGTGTGGTGCCCTGTGACTGTTGGCACAGCTCCCAGTAGGAGAGCGCTGGCCAGGGCACTGCTGCCCACGACTTGACCTCCTGGGGTTTTCACCAGGTTTGCATTTCTGAAAAGCGGACAGTGGAGGGGAGGAGGGTGAGACCAGAGGTTCCCGTGAGCCGCTGCTGTGGTCAAGGTCGTGGGGAATGCTGGTTGGAGTCACTGCCCTGGGGTGGAGGGGAAGACAAGATGCTAGGAGGAGGGGCAGCTTTTGGTCAAGACAGAGACCATTAGGAGGTGACAGAGTTGGGGGTGCCAGGGGCAGAGGGGGCACCTTCAGTCATGACTCCGCATGGTTCACTTCCCAGCCTCGGGCTTGCCACGTCCTGCCCTCTCTCCTGCCTGCTCCCGTCAGGTCCTCCTCTGCCCGGCCCACGGACACACCCCTGCAGGTCCCCATGGCCGTGGTCAGCCGCACGGGTGTGACTGACACCCCCTCCTCCATCCACCTCCTCCGCTGGCATCAGTGGCACCACTTGGTTCTGTTCTTGCCCTGCTGGCTGCTCCCCATTCTGTGCTGGGGGCCCTGATTTCCCAACCTCCTGACTCTTACATGGCCTGCACCCTCTCCCCTGGGAGGCCTCTGCCGGGCTGGACGCTCTGCCCACTGTCTCAGTGTCCTGGGGCTGCTGGCACAAAGTCCCACAAGCTGGATGGACAAAAACAACAGATACATCTTTTCTGGTCTCAGCCAGAACCTGCAGTCAACCCAGGATGTGAAGGCTTAGGGGAAGGTCCTTCCTGCCTCTCTCAGCTCCCGGTAGCTCTAGGAGTCCTTGGCTTGGGGCTGGCTTCTGTCTTCACGTGGCGGTCCCCTCTGTGTGTCTCAGATCTTCCTCTCCCCACTCTTAGAGGACACCAGTCATTGGATTTAGGGCCTCCCCTAAATGCAGGATAGTCTCATTTTAAAATCCTTCATATAATTCCATGTGTAAAGACCCTTTTTCTAGAGAAGGTCCCATTTGCAAGGACTAGGGGCAGGGCTTCGGCTCTCTCCTGGGGAACTGTTCAGCCCCGGCTCGTACCAGCCATATACTGGTGGTCAGCAGATTTGCATTTCTGGTACGGTCTCATTGGCTCCGAATTTGTATGAGAAGCATCTCAAACCTAAAATGTCCCAACTCTTGCTTTCTCCTCCCAGGCCGCAGAACCTGCTCCTCTCCATCTGCTCCGTTGTGGGACATGCGGCTCTGCTCTGCCCGTGGCTCAGGTGGGAACCCCGCATGGGCCCCTGCCTGCGCAGCACTGCACACCTGTCCTCTGTGTGTCCCTGTCACGTCCCCCTTCTGCTCAGACTCTCCCACGGGTCCCTGTCCCCCCATGAGACTCTGTGGGACCTGGTCCTGTGCCCCCTGCTCCCTTACCCTCCCCTTCAGCACCCTGCCGGGTCACGCTAGCCCCCCTGCCCCCGGGGGTCTCCTTCAGGCACCGTCCCCGACCTTCCCCCCACCCCCCCGCCCCAAATTCTCTGTCCCTCCTGCTTGTCCACATCTCATCCCTTCCTGACGGCCGTGTGTAAGGGGGCCGGGGTGTGCCTCCCCCACCCCCACGACCTGTGTGTGCCAGTCTGGGCTGGAGCTTGTGCTCCACGGGCGCACAGGACGGTACCTAAGACAGGGGCGTCTGCTGAAGGAAGGAGGGTGACCCCGTTTGTCCCCACGTCCTGCTGGCTCCCCGGGCAGGTGGGCAGCCCTTGGCTCCCGTGACAGCCTGGCCAGCTGTGCCTCTGGCCAGTTACTTGGGCTCCCCAGGGTCAAGCGGGCCCGGGACCCTGCCCTGGGGGTGAGTGTGAGCGCCGAGGGGGTCAAGATGCCGAAGCATTTAGGAGCTGGGCTGGCTTTTCCGGCCACCGCTGCCCCTGGTCGTGGGCTTGGCGCCTTGTTCCTTACAGCTGTGCCTCGGGACATGCTTCTCCCTCCTTCCCCGGCCGCTAGTCTCGGGCTTTGTTCCCCACCCCCCACGGAGCATGGTCTCCCGCAGCACCCCTTCCCCCGTGACTCCTTCCCCCGTGAGCCCTTCCCCCCGTGACCATCAGCTAGTGAACAGGTGAATAGCTGCCCTTGACTTTATGACCTTCTCAGCACAGCCCGGACTGTCACACCGGGACCTGACTGGTTCCCGTGCCACATTGTGGGTGCTCCGATGGGGGGTGCTTGGGGGGGCGCTCTGCGTAGCCCCCACTCCAATTAGTCTTAATTTGAAGCTTTGCCTTGTCGTCAAGGACACGAGGCATTATTTCCATCTCCTCCTACATATGAGTGTTAGGAGAGTGCCCTGTGTGGGTTCCCATGTGTCCACCGGTGTCCCTGACCTCCCAGTGCCCGGGGGCTCTGGGCCAGGGCTCCTGCCCAGAAGGGGTGCCTCGTCACACAGCAGGGGGCGCCGCTCGCCCACCCTGAGTCAGTGCAGGCGCTACCTGGCCTTCCCCAGGAGAGCAGAGCCTCGCCTACTCATGGTGCACCCCGGGTCGGAACAGTGCCCTGCGTGTGTAGACAGTTACTAGATATTTGTTGGGTGAGTGGGTGAATAAATCTGGATGGCTACAAAACGTGAAGACAAGTCAGGGCCCAGTGCAAGTGTAAATTGGTCACGCTGAAGGGGTTGGCTTATGACGCATCAGGGTGGTTTTCTCCTCTCCGTGCGAAAATATGCATTTTTATGAAGTGTATGCATGCTATGGAATAAGGGGGGCCAGAGATGCTCTGCAGTGATTAACGGACACTTTTCTGCTTTTGTTTCCCCAGACACCATTTGCTTTTGACTCAAGATGATTTGATGTTTTGTTATAAAACTCATTAACCATGATGGCAACACAGACATTAAGCATAGACAGCTATCAAGATGGGCAACAAGTGAGCGCCTGAGCTTTGTTCTGCATTCTAAATACAGTCGATGGATCGGGTACTAAAACACGACCAGTGCTTTGTACATTTATAATTCAGTTTCCGTGAGGTTGCGAGTTCGATTTTAAGCATATGATGCATTTATTATATGTTGATCTCAGAAAGGGTAGCTGTAGAGTTATTCAAATCATTTCTTCAAGGGATACCAAGTTGCCAGTAATTCTGACTCCCCTAAGTCATAGTCTTTGGGAAATTTACCTTTTTGATGTCTGTGTGAGTGAGGGTTGTTACTTTTTAAAGAAAAACTGGGTATTGATGAAAGCCAGATGACTGGTTGCTGACCTGAGCAGGAACCATGGGGTTCCCCCTCCCCAGGTGTGAGCAGCGGAGGGGCCTGTCCCAACGCTCTGGGTGGCCTAGTTGCTGTGCTGTCCCCTCACGTTGTGTGGCTGTGCCCGGACAGCTTCCTCTGATACAGTGTGGGTGGCCTCTTGCCTGCCCTTCCACTGTCCGTAGACTTGATTCTCCTTGCAGCTGCAGTGAAGGTCTGGGTGTTTCATGTTCTGTGCCTTGAAGGAATTGGGGAGGAGGGGAAGGGGGGAGCTCAGCCCAGTACTGGGAACTCTCAGGGGACACCTGAGGTCTTGGGATGCTCAGTGTGTTCGGAATGGGGGCCACTCCTCTTCTGACTCTGAGCCCTGGAGCCTCTTCCATTGAAGACCTTCCAGGCTTTGCTTCCTGCTTCCTGTAGTCAGGAGGCGGTCGAAGAGTGCGCAGAGGCTCTCTTTTCGCCCTACTTGAAGGTATTAGTGAGCTGGATCACTAAAAGGCCAGGTGGACTTACCCAAATGAGGTCACCGCCCAGCATCAGTGAGGTTCCAGGTGGCGCCCGGGACCTCAGGCTGCCTCCCTCTTCTGTTGTGTCTTTCCGCAGTGGCCAGTTTTGTGCATTCCTGGTTTGGTTCTGTTACACAGACTTTGTTTTTGTTGGCTTGTTGTTGTTGGCTTTTAAAAAATGTTTAAGTGTCTTAGCTTCTCATAGGAATTGAGGGGTGGGGGTCCTTTTCAGCCTGCTCTCTGCCCCTGGAGGTCCTTTGAGAGTTCCAAGTGATTTTTTTTTAAAATGCAAAGCTAGTGTTGTCCTCCTCCCCCAGGCTGAGCCCTGCCTTGTGGACCCTGCATTGCCCTGGTCCTCCCCTCAGCACCCCGCTTCTGGGGATCCCTGTCCTGTGGCCTTGGCACTGGCTCTTCCCTCAAGCAGCAGTTTGGCCAGGGCCCTCCGGTCCTGCTGTCTGTGCTTCCATTGCTTCCTGTTGAAGACTGCCCTGCCTGCCCTGGTCACCACCGTAGCCTCCTCCCTCCCACCTGCCACCTGCCTCTAGTCCTCCCTCCCTCCACTGATCCTTATTCTCCGGTGTTGCACAGATCCCCTGCTGGCAGCTCTGTATCCCGGGCAGGGCCAGGCACAAGGAGGGAAAGAGCCTCACTTTTAATAGCTAAGCGCTTTCCCTTGATGTGGAAAAGTCCTTGTCCACGGTGCTTTGAACATTTACTGTTCTGCAGTATAGATGTGCCCCATTCACTTGGCCACTCCTCTGAAGTTGGACATTTAGGATTCTCTTTTTTCACAATCATTTAAACACACACACACACACACACACACACACACCCTGGAATAAATTTTTTTTTTTTTTGGAATAAATATTTTAAGGCTCTTTCAGATTTCCCTCCTGAAAGGTTGTGTTTGATTGGGCTTTTGTTAGGTGCTTCAGTGTTTTGTGTTTATGAGAGAGAGAGAAAGAGAGAGAGAGGGAGAGAGAGAGATCTCCCAGGCCCACGGCACCATCTACGGGCAGTGGGACGCAGGTATTCATGCACAGCTGGACCATCTGAGAGGCAAGGGCGGTGCTAGGGCCTACACTGCAGGGCTCCCCGCTTGGCCTGCACCCACCCCCGGCTGTCAGGGCTTCATGGCAGGTTGCAGGCTCTCAGGGTACATGGGGATAAGCCCCTTCCCTTGAGTGCCTGCACCCGGCTTCTTCCTCGAGGGACGGGGTTGTGGCAGCCGGGGGTGGGTAGGTGGGTCCCGGTCCTGAGGAGTTCAGGGGGCTGGTGATCTGCTCACGGGTAATTATAAGGTTCCTGCAGCAATTTGGGATTTCTTTCTGTAAACCGAATTCCTTATGTTTAAGGATTTAGATACCTTTCACCTAAGTTAGGAATCAAGTGGCTAGTTTAAAGCAACTTAACTGATAGTATCTTTTAATACTGTTTCTTTAAACACAGCTGTCTTTGCCTTCTGAATATGACTTTTTTTCCTCAAAATTTGTATAGCTTATGTATTCCTGAAATTAAAGAGTAGATGGCGAGAATTTCAGCCCTGTCCTGAATAGAATGTAGGGTCTGAGTGGTTTCTGTCACAAGAGTTTGAGCTATTTGTGTGTATTTCTCTTACTGCAGTGTTAGTGTGAGGATCTAGAGAGAGAAGAGATTATTTGTGTGCCACTTGCCTTCAGCACTGTGTCGTAGTATATTTTTGAAAATCATAAGCATTTCTCGGATACTGGTCCTCTCGGTTTTCAAGATAATTTGGAAATTTGACCTTTGTTGTAGCCATTTTCAAAGCCTATTAAATGCAAAGGAGTTTTGTGGGTAGCATTTTTATGTGTGTATGTATTGCCAGTCGTCCCATCCCGCTGTGTAGCAATTTACCATTTCTGTTGCATTTGTTTCTGTTTGAGAATAGAGTACGTAGTAGCAGTTTATGTTGTGTTTAGTAACCGAATTCTCCTCCTTCTTTCACAGATGCAAGTAGTAACAGAGTTAAAAACGGAGCAAGATCCCAACTGCTCTGAACCTGATGTGGAAGGAGTGAGCCCTCCACCCGTGGGGTCCCAGACGCCAATGGAGGCAGACAAGCAGGCCATTTATAGGTAGCAATGAGATGTGACGCATGTGGGTTTTTAGCAGGAATAACAGGAGTAGAGAACCTTGTTAAATGGAATATACTAGAACTATTAGGTAGGCAGGGTAGGGAAGTAGTTGATAACCACTGGAGTGAGAAGTTTGTCAAATTAAGATGTTACTCCTAATACCTTAAAAGTTTTGGAATAGAAATCTATGTTTTAGTCAATCTTGTAAAAAGAAACCTTTAGGCCAGGGTAGTTTTACTGGAGAATCCCGTAAAGGAAGAGAGAATGCTTCCCAGTACATCGCTCTGGTACTAAAGCCAGATACAGACAATTCAAAAAAGAAAAATACACACCGGTGTGCCTCATGAACTTAAGCATAAAAATCACTAATCAAATATTAAATCCAGCGGCACATAGAAAGAATAACATACACTGACCAAGTGGAATTTATCCCACGAACTCAAAACTGATTCACTAGTCAAACAGTCAACCAGTGAGGCCCACCACATGATCATACCAAATGACACAGGAAAGCATTTGACAAAAGTTAGCAGCTAATTATGATTAAAAACTGTCAGCAGAGTGGCAGTAGAGGAAAACTTCCCTGACCTGATGAAAGGCAACCTCAAAAGGTCTATAGTTCTCATCATAGTTAATGGCCAAAGACTGTTTTCCTCCGAGCTTGGGCATAAGCAGAGATGTCCACCCTGACTCAACCCATTCACACCACCGTAATGAAAGTCCTAGCCAGTGCAGTAAGGCATTTTTCTTACTTATAGAAAAGGGATACCAGATTAGAAAGGAAGAAATAAAACTGGCTCTGTGTACAAACAACATAATTGTCTATGTAGAAAATCCCAAGGATTACCGAAAAACTCCCAGAACTAGTTAAGTAAGTTTAATAAGGTCACAGATTACAAGAGCTACCAATCCCATTTCTTTCTTTCTTTCTTTCTTTCTTTCTTTCTTTCTTTCTTTCTTTCTTTCTTTCTTTCTTTCTTCTTTCAAGATTTTATTTATTTATTCATGAGAGAGACACACACAGAGAGCGAGGCAGAGACACAGGCAGAGGGAGAAGCAGGCTCCATGCAGGGAGCCCGACGTGGGACTCGATCCCGGGTCTCCAGGATCACACCCTGGGCTGCAGGTGGCACTAAACTGCTGTGCCACTGGGGCTGCCCACCAATCCCATTTCTATATGAGTGATATACAATTGGAAGCTGAAATTTAAAAAGACAATACTATTTACAAAAGCTCCAAAAAATTTAGGTATAAATCTAACAAAACACAGAAACTTTATGCTGAAAAACTAGAATGCCAATGCAACAATCAAAGAAAACCTATATTAATGGTGAGACACACCATATTCATGGTTTGAAAGGGTCAACATAGTAAAGATGTCCTTTCTCCTAAAATTGACTTGTAGATTTACCACAATTCCAATTAAAGCCTTAGCAGGATATTTTTGTACATATGGACGAGTTAATTCTAATTTTATACGGAAGGCAAAAGAGCTGGACTTGCTAAAACAGCGTTGAAAACAAAGAACAGAGTTGGATTTTGAGATGTACTATGGTGTTACAGTAACAAGGACGTGGTGATGGTGGTGAAGGCATAGGATCAGTGTCACTGATAGAGTCCAGAAGTAGATGTACAAAAACATGATTTATTTGATCTTTGACCAAGGCACAAACACAGTTTCATGGAGTAGAGGTAGAGTTTCCAACAAACGGTGTTGGAACAATTAGACATTCATATGCTAAAGGAAGATCCTTGACCTAATCTCACATTTTATATGGAAGTTTACTCAAAATGGAGTATAGATCTATTTTTTTTTAAAGATTTTATTTATTTATTCATGAGAGACACAGAGAGAGGCAGAGACACAGGCAGAGAATCAGGCTCCATGCAGGGAGCCCGATGCAGGATTCGATCCTGGGACTCCAGGATCACGCCCTGGGCCCAGGGTAGGCGCTTAACCGCTGAGCCACCCAGGCATCCCTGGAGTATAGATCTAAATGTAAGATTTAAAACTATATAAAACTGATCTGTCCACACAGTAAAATATTATTCAGCCACAAAAAGGAACAAAGTACTGACACATAACAACTTGGGTGAGCCTGGGAAACACCACGCTAAGCGAAAGAAGCTAGATGCCAAAGGGCACGTGTGGTATAATTCCATTTATACGAGATGTCTGGAACTGGCAAATCTGTAGGACAAAGTCGGTATGGTGGCCTGGGGCTGGGCTTTGGGGGAAAATGGGCAGTGGCTGCTCATGGCTGCCAGGTTTCTTTGGGGGAGGATGAAAAAGCTGCAGAATTGACCTTGGTGATGGTTGCAGTGCTCTGTGAACAGAGTAGACACCATTGGATTGTACACTGTAAGTAGATAAATTGTAGCACGTGAACTGTGTCTCAACAAAGCTGTTACACTAACGAATGCGTACATACATGCTAAAATATTCTCGTGCAAATGTAGAACATATATTTTACATTTTCCCCCCCAGGCATCCACTATTTCCATTATTAGCTTTGTTGTTTGAAAAATGTGAACAATCTACACAGGGCTCAGAAGGCACAACTTCTGCCAGTTTTGACGTAGATATTGAAAATTTTGTAAGGAAGCAAGAGAAGGAAGGAAAACCTTTCTTCTGTGAAGATCCGGAAACTGACAATTTAGTAAGTAAAATATGTGTTTTATTCTTATTTTTTTTACTTCTTCCAAATTTAAAATCCATTCAATAAATTTTAAACTTCCAAGTAGGACTTTAGAATGTAGTTCTGCTACAGGGGAGAATCGTGTAGTTCATGAAATAACTTCCCATGTGTGTGACCTGTCGCCACGTCTTCCAGCCTTCTCTGGTGACCTTTACTGTAGGGATCAAAGGAGATCATCTGAGCCTGCATCACAGAGGGACTGAGGATTCAGTTCTTTTGTAATTATTTGTGAAGTTTGTCGGGGTTGGTGTGCTTACATGCCCTGCGTCTCGGGCATGTGTGTGCCCCACTCCCGTTCTTGGCTTTTCCCTGATCGTGGCCACACAACCTTATTGTCCAGGACAGACCTTTAGCTCTGTCTTAGGCTGGCAGTAAGGTGTGGTGGGCCACAAGGCTGATGCAGGCACAGAGCCGGCCAGGCTTAACAAAGGGCCCCCACACTTCTCATCGCGTCCCCTGGCCTTTCTGCCTCACGTGGTGGGTGCCCTCCTCCCTGCCTCGGGAGGTTTGGGGTTCCCTGTGCCGTCCGTCTAAAGGAACTGCAGAATTTGTCAGAGTTAACATCCCTGCTGCACCCAAAGGAGCACTGCCCTTCTGTGCCGGTGGAGCACGTTAGCCTGCGTTGGGGGGACGATCCTGGGTTTCCTTTACCGCCTGCCAAGCCCCAGCCCAAAATCTTAGGGCCCTTATCAGCAGAAAAGCATCTTTAGAAAACTTTTTCCTGAATAAATGTCTCGGATCTTTGTTGTTTGTATGTATGTGTGTATGTATTTAAGATTTTATTTATTTATTCATGAGAGACACACAGAGAGGCAGAGACACAGGCAGAGGGAGAAGCAGGCTCCCTGCGGAGAGCCCGATGTGGGACTCGATCCCGGGACTCCAGGATCACGCCTTGGGCGGAAGGCAGGCGCTCAACCGCTGAGCCACCAGGCATCCCTCTTTGTTATTTTTTAATTTCTCATTATACGTTCAACTCTTGGTGCCTAGTGGGCTTTACCAATGCACTGTCTGAGCTGGAGTCAGCCTCCTCAGCTTTGACCTGGGTCCAACAGTGCCCGCCCTGTGGGGTGAGCAGCAGGAGCTGTCCCCGCCTCTGGATCTCTGGTCCTCAGCCAGCAGTGTGTGGGCCGCGGGTGTAGCCGGAGGGACCCAGGCTCTTCTGGCTGGCGTTCCAGCATAGGGCCTAGCAGAGCTGGGCACCCAGTCACTCGCTCTAGTGACCGATGGACTGGTTCGTTCCACAGCACATACGGATTACTGCCTCCAGGGTCACAGGGGAAGGAGCTGGGCGTTGGGTTGTGGATTCACAGGCCGGTACTGCTTATTATTACAGACCCTTACCTACTGCTGTGGGCCGGGTTACTCTGAAACTTAGTAAAGTCACCGTAAAACCTTTGTAAAAATCTTAAAAGGGCTGATCTAGTGCTGGGGGCAGAGTTCTTAGGCTTGACACCGAAAGCACAGTCCATAGAAGGCAGAGCAGGTAAATTAAGTTTTATCAAAATTAAGAGCCACCTATGAGATGGGTATGGATTCCTCCCCATTTACAGGTGAAGAAACCGGAGCAGAGGGAGGGGGAGTACCTTGCTCTTTGTGTAGCAGGTCAGTGGGGCTGAGTCGAGGCCCGGCTGCCTCCGGGTGCTGTGACTCCCCAAGGGCAGCTCGGGGACCATCTGTGTCCCCACACGCCAGATGCAGCGAAAGTGCCAAAGGTCTGTGGCGCTGGGGTGACTCGTCGTCTTGCCTGGTTTCTGATGGGATTCCCCTCCCGTCGGGGGCTGTGCGGCAGTCAGGCCAATACCCGACAGTAGTTATGTGCTGAGGATTATAATTTACCCTTAAGCTGCCATTTCCTTGTCTGAACGCCTTCATTTTCTCTGCTTCTAGATGGTCAAAGCGATCCAGGTTTTGCGTATTCATCTTCTTGAGCTGGAAAAGGTTAATGAACTGTGCAAAGATTTCTGCAGTCGCTACATTGCTTGTCTAAAAACGAAAATGAACAGTGAGACTCTCCTGAGCGGAGAACCTGGAAGCCCGTACTCCCCTGTCCAGTCCCAGGTATCTATGTGGGTCCTGCTGAGCTTCGGGGTGACTGTACGATCTGCAGGGGTGACGGGTGCTGACCTCTGAGACCAGTAGCCCTGTCAGAGTCCCTGGGCTGTCTTAGGGCCAACCTCCAGCCAGGAGGACAGGCCCTCGAGGCGTCGTGCAGTAAGTGGGGTGAGGCCTCGGCCTGTGTACCAGACCCTGGATCCCACCTTTCTGGAGGATGGACTGCCATTCACTGCTTTCCTTTTTCTTTGGAATATGGTTTTTGTTATTTCTTAAAATTGTGGTAAAATACACGTCATAAAACGTAGCATCTTAATCATTTTTAAGTGTATACTTCGGTGGCATTAAGCATCTTCCCACTGCTGGGCAAACCATTGTCACCATCTATCTCCAGAGCTTTCCATCTTCGTAGACTGAAATGCTGTCCTCATTAAATGCTGACTCTCCACCTTCCCTCCCCCACCCCTGGCTCCCACATTCTACTTCCTGTCTCTGTGAGTTTGATTAGTCTACGTACCTCATGTAGGGGATCGTACCGTATTTGTCCTTTTGTGTTTGACACGATGTCCTCAGGGTTCATCCGTGTTGAAGCACTATTATACTTGAGCCATTCTGTTGGTACATAGTGACACTCGTGGTTGTAGTGTGCGCTTCTCCGATGGCTAATGGTGTTGACCTTCTTTTCATGAGCATGTTTGCCATTGGTGGATCCTCCTTGGTAGAATGCCTGTTCATGTCTTTAGCTCATTTTCCTTCTTTTCTTTCTTTCTTTCCTTTTTTTTTTTTTTAAAGAACCTTCTTCTTTTTTAAAAATTTTATTTATTTGTTTATTCGTGAAAGACAGAGAGAGAGGCAGACACAGGCAGAGGGAGAAGCAGGCCCCATGCAGGGAGCCCGACATGGGACTCGATCCCAGGTCTCCAGGATCACACCCTGGGCTGAAGGCGGCGCTAAACCGCTGAGCCACCTGGGCTGCCCTAAGTACCCGTCTTTTATTGGCTGTATGGTTTGTAAATATTTTTGCCCAAGTCTGTAGCTTATCTTTTCATCCACTTAACAGGATTTTTCACAGAGCAAACATTTTAAATTTTGACCAAGTCCCCTTTATCAACTTTTCCTTTGATGAATTGTGCTTTTGGTGTTAAGTCTAAGAACTCTGCCCTGCCTTAGATCCCAAAGATTTTCTGTAGTTCTTTTTTTTCTGAAAGTTTTATATTTTACATTTAAATCCATGGCCCATTTATTTTTATTAAAAAAATTTTTTTTTCCATGACCCATTTTGAGTTAACTTTTGTGTAAAGTACAAGTTTAGGCTGAGGTTCTTTCTCTGGCCTCTAGATGTCCAGTGCTCCAGCACCATTTGTTGAAATTCCTCCACTGAATTGCTTTTATGACTGATTGTCAAAAATCAGTCAGGTGTATATGTGTTGGTTTGTTCTGGTGTTCTCTGTTCTGTTCCACTGATCTGTGTGTTTATACCATCCACTCTTGGTTATGGTAGTTATTCAGTAAGTCTCAAACTTGAATAGACTGTTTCTTCCCACTCTATTCTCCTTTTTTAAATTTATTTTAGTTATTCTAGTTCCTTTCCATATAAATTTTGGAATAATCATGTCTATATCAACAACAATAAAATTGAGATTTTGGGAGGAATTGCATCAAGCCTCTGTATCATTCTGGGGAGAATTGATGTCTTTACTCTGTTGACTCTTCCAGTTCACAGACCTGTTATGTGTCTCCACTTATTTACTCTTCTGTCATTTTTTTCATTAGTGTTTTGTAGTTTTGTTAATAGAAGTCCTGCACATATGTTTTTAGGATTAACGCCTACATGTTTTGTTTTGTTTTTTAGCAATTATAAATGGTATTTGTTTTTTTAAGATTTTAATTCATTAATTAATTTTTTAAAAAAAGATTTTATTTATTTATTCATGACAGACACAGAGAAAGAGAGAGAGGCAGAGACACAGGCAGACGGAGAAGCAGGCTCCATGCAGGGAGCCTGATGTGGGACTCCATCCCGGCTCTCCAGGATCACGCCACGGGCCGGAGGTGGCGCCAAACCGCTGGGCCATCAGGGCTGCCCTAATTTATTTTTTTTAGAGATTTTATGTATTTATCCATGAGAGACGGAGAGAGAGAGGGGCAGAGACACAGGCAGAGGGAGAAGCAGGCTCCCTGTGGGGAGCCTGATGCAGGGCTCGATCCCAGGACCCCGGGGTCACGCCCTGAGCCAAAGGCAGAGGCTCCACCGCTGAGCCGTCCAAGCGCCCCTAGTATTATATTTTAACTTCAGTGTCCCTATTGATATTTAGAAATACAGTTGATTTTGTATGTTTATCCTGCATCTTGTAACCTTGCTGAGCACACATATTGTTTCTAGAAGGTCCTTTTCACAGATTCCTTAGGATGTCCTACCTGTTTGGTTATGTCATCTGCAGATCGGAACTGTCCCCTTCCTTCCTGATCTGTATGCTTTTCGTTTTCTTGTCTTGCTGCGTTGGCTAGAACATCTGGCAATATCTTGAATACCATTGGTCAGAGTGGACATCCTGCCTTATTCTCAATCTTAGGGGAAAGCGTTCCTCCTTTCACTATCAATTGTAGTGTGTTTTTTTTTTTAAGATTTATTTATTTATTTTTTTATTCATGATAGATATATAGAGAGAGGCAGAGACACAGGCAGAGGGAGAAACAGGCTCCATCCCGGGAGTCCGATGCTGGACTTGATCCTGGGACTCCAGGGTCGTGCCCTGGGCCAAAGGCAGGCGCCAAATAGCTGAGCCACCCAGGGATCCCCTCAATTGTAGTTTTAGTGGCAGGTTTTTCCTAGATGCTCTCATCAAGTGGAGGCAGTTCCCCTCTAATCCTATTTTTCTGAGAGTTTCTATTAATGTTGAATTTTGTCAAATGCTTTCCCTGCATGAATTGATACGATTGTGATTTTTCTTGTTTCTCCTGTTAACATGGTAGTAGATCACATTATTTGACTGTTCCAATACTGAACAATCCTCACATTTTTTGAATCAACCCCACTTGGTATGGCACACAATTCTTTTTCTGTAGGTTCCTGAATTCTGCTTGCTAATGTTAGACGTTTGTGTGTCTGTATTGAAAGATATTGGTCTGTAGTTGCTTTTTTGTTACCATCTTTGTGTAGGTTTGGTACCATATTCAAACAGCTTTATGGAATAAAAGGAAAAGTGTTTCTTCCTTTTCTGTTTCTGGAAGTGATTGTGTAGAATTGGTGTTAATTCTTTACATGTTTGATGGAATTCTCCAGTGGCACTAGCTGGACCTAGAGATTTCTTTTTTGAGTTTTCAAATTATGCATTTGGTGCCCTTAGTAGTTCTGAGGCTGTTCAGATGAGCTGTTTCATACTAGCTCCCGTCTCAGATGTCAGATGCATGTGTGCTGGGTGGTCCACAGCCCTGCTTCTCGCCTGCTGATGCGTGTAGGGTCTGCAGTGCTCTCCTCTGTTTTGTCCCTGATATTGGTAATTTGCCATCTCGCTTTGTTTTTTCTAACTCTTATAGAGGTTTGTCAGTAGATTGATGATTGATCTTTGCAAAGAACCAGCTCTTTTTTCATCGATCTCTGTTGTTCAATTTTCATTTTCATTGACTGCTTTTGATCTTACTATTTCCTCCCTTCTTTTTAGAAAAAAATTTTTTTAATGATTTTATTTATTTATTTATGAGAGACACACACACACACATACACACACACACACACACAGAGGCAGAGACGCAGGCAGAGGGAGAAGCAGGCTTCATGCAGGGAGCCTGATGTGGGACTCGATCCCAGGACCCCGGGGATCACGATGTGAGCCGAAGGCAGACATTCAACCATTGAGCCACCCAGAAGCCCCTCCTTTCTTTTTGCTTTGGTTTCCTTCTGTTCCTCTTTTTCTAGGTTCTGGATGATGGGTGCTTGGGTTATTGATTTGGGTGAATTAACTTTTATTCTAACCAAGTTAATGGGCTAGATTTTATATAAGCTGTACCTACCAAAGCTTATACACACATTCGAATTGATGTGGCGTCCTGCAGAGTCATGGTCTTTGGATGATGTCCACCGATGCTGTTTAACTGCTCAAATATCTGGGTGTCTGCTGCGTGCCAGGCCCAATGCCTGGATGCCAGGTGCAGAGCTTCCTTCCCTTGCCAGCCACCAGTGCAGCCATCAGAGTGAATGGATAGATTGGCCTGTTGGCACGTACCTTCAGATGGGTGGAATCTTGATGTGGTGTTGATGGTCATCTTTGTGGAACCTGCTGCGGGCCGGGCCCAGACCTAGCACTCTACAGACATGAGCACCAGGGGGCTCACCTCTTTTACGATGATTAATACGATGACAAGATGAACGATAATGTTTTAGAAGCCAGATTGAAACTAGTATCTCAGTATTGATCGTCGTATTTGATACCGGGTCAGTCTTGGATCTCTTGGTCTGCAGGTATGTGAGGTGTGCTTTACAGGACACTTGTCGCCTCATTACATCTCTTTGTCTCAAATACCTTTCCTTCATTAATGATACCATTAGGCCACTTGTTTTAAAGTTTTACATGTGGGTTTTCTGTTTTCCAGTAACCCCTCCCTGTGTATTTCTGACCCACAGCAGATTCAGAGTGCCATCTCAGGCACGCTCAGCCCCCAGGGGATCGTGGTTCCAGCATCTGCCCTGCAGCAGGGGAACGTAACCATGGCAACAGTAGCAGGTATGCTGGGTATGCTGGCGGAAGAAAGGATGCTCTTTCCTTGAGCTTTTGTGGAAAAGTCCTTTATGTTACAACAGAGAAGTGTGTAAATGTAATTTCTAATTAATGTCAGTTTCTGATACAGGAGTGGTAAAATCTAGAGCTCTTAGAACTGAATGCCTGTTTCTTGTTTTAATTCTCAGTAACAATATGTTATGCAAATTGTGTTTCCCTACCAAAAAATTTGAGGGAGAAAGGTTTTGTTTTTTATTTTTTTAAAAGATTTAATTTATTTATTCATGAGAGACACAGAGAGAGAGAGAGAGACATAGAGGGAGGAGCGGGCTCCCTGCGAGGAGCCTGATGCAGGACTTGATCCCAGGACCCCGGGGTCACACCCTGAGCTGAAGAAGGGCGCCCAACCACTGAGCCCCACAGGTGCCCCAGGGAAGTTGTTAATAATTTATAGAGACAAGTCAGCCAGTAAAGTATTGATCATTTGAAATGATTTAAAAACCAGACTGGAGATTTTATTCCTTTCACACATACATTCAGTATATTGAGAATATGGTTTTAAACTGTTGAGACTCACGAGTATTTTCATTTCTTCCTTCTTCAGGTGGCACAGTGTATCAACCTGTCACAGTTGTCACTCCTCAAGGCCAGGTAGTGACACAAGCGCTGTCGCCTGGCACGATCAGGATCCAGAACTCCCAGGTGCATATGCCATTTCTGTGGGAGGGCTTGGGGACGAGTTGCGCGAGTTGGGGGGGCAGCAGGAGATCCAGGCTTGGTCTGTTCCCTGTGCCTGAAGATGGTTTGTCTCAAGCTGGCTTTCATGTAGCAATCTCCAGTTAATCTCAGTGTCAGTGTTTTGTCTCATTTATCCTTCGTTTTCCTCATTGTAAACAAGTTGGCAAAGTTCAGAAAGTCTAAGGAAGCAGAGAAAGTCCTCCATTACCCCTTCTCCTAAGCATCCACTGTCTTCAATTTTAACACCGGATCGTGTAGTTGTCTCTGGATCAGGAGACTTGCCGTGTAGAGACACTCTTCCTGCCCCCGTGGAGGTTCACAGCAGACCCAGCACGCCAAGGCCTTTCTGCTGTGCACCTGCTGGGCCAGAGCAGCGCTTCAGGCTGGTCCTCGGGGAGGCCAGGGCACTTCCTTAACATCCTCCCACAGCCTGATGGGAAAGCTGCGCAAGGGCTGCCCCTCCCCTGCTCCGGGTTGCCCAGTGGAGGCCCCGCCCCAAGGAGGCTGGTCTGCTCCTCCTGCCTCCTGGGGAATACCGGCTCCCAGAACAAAGGAGGCAGCTTTCTGGCCAGAAGCAGCGGGTGGACATGCTGTTACGTGCTGTGCTGAGGTCATGGTCCTGTCCCTGGGCCTATGCAGTAAGAGGAGGTTGGACTCGGCTGCATCTAAATTACAGGGACACACACATGGATACATACAGCCTTGTTTATCACATTTAGCTAGGGCTAAATCAGTTAATGTTTCTGTTATCGGCTCCTATGTAAGAGCGCACATTCATTCTTTCTGTTAGTTCTTCGTCTTTGGCCTGCACACGTATTTTGCACAAGCTCATGACGACTTGGAGGCCCAGCCTGGGAGATGTTGGTGTCTCCCTCAAGCAGAGAGCAGATGTGAGAGGGTCTGGGGCAGCCACAGGCTTGCCCCGCCAATCCAGGGGTTACTGCCTCTCACTTCAAGGACAGAGTTGAGCTGGGGCAGGGGGCCTTGTCATCTGGGCACATGAGGTCTCACCAAGCCTGGCAGTGGGTAGAGGAGAAGCTGGGCTCCACCAGCATTGTCTTTGGATTCTCCAACCAACCCACTTTCCCTGGAGCTTTCCATTTACATGGCTGTGAACACAAGGCAGCATCTGGTTTGCAGGTGCTTTTAGAGAAAGACACTTTAAAGTGAGGTGCCTTCCTTATATAGTAGAGGTTTATTTGCCCTGTTGCTTAAGAAGAAAACTTTCTGGGGTGCCGGGGGCGCTCAGTCAGTTAAGCGTCCAACTCCTGATTTCAGCTCAGATCATGATCTCAGAGTTGTGAGATCATGCCCAACTGCTCACATTGGGCTCCATGCTCAGCAGGGAGTCGGATTCTCTATCTGCCTCTCCCTGCTGCGTGCTCTCTTGCTCACTCTCCCCCTCTTCCTCTCTCAAATAAATCAGTCTTTAAGAAAAAAAAAAAGAAATTTTTCTACTTAACTGAATTTTCTTATAGATGGACATGACTAGTTTAGCAAACACACAGAGTTTGTATTCAGCATAACCCCTTCTGACACGGGACGTGCATGTGACCCTCCCCAGCCCCGTGAGGCAGACTCCTTGCAGCCTGTGCACTGTCCCGGCACTGGTGCTCGGTGGTTCTCCACCGAGGTGGTTCACCCTGCACCTGTCCCATCCCCGTCTCACCCCTGCCCAGTACAGCTCCTGGGGCAGCAGGGCCAGAAGCCAGAGACACGAGCTGCCCCAGGTTTGGAACAGAAGAATAAACAGATGGACTGTGGGCCCTGGGGGCAGGCGTTCTTTGAATAAAATCTGTATGTGGTCCATGTGATTTTTATTGTGGCTATTTGGGCTGCTCTGGGCTCTTTTTTCCCCCGTTTTCTTTTTTTTGGGGGGATTGGTTCTTGCTGGGCTTCAGATAATTGGGGAGAGTGACTTAACCACTGATAGTTTCTGTTTCTGTGTCAGAAACTATGGGGTAGGTTTTACCAAGAAAACTGCTCACTGCCCGTCATGGCTCCTGTTGTCACTCTGGCCCGCTTCATTCCGGGCAGCCAAGCAGTGGCAGTCACTGGTGAGCCCTTGCAATGCTCATCCTGTGGTGTCCCCAACCTGCTCCGTCCTGCCCCGAGTCTGGCTGGGGCAGACTTTAGCATCGCCACTGCCCCCCAGAAGAGCATCGGCCACTGCAGGCCACGTCCTGACCTACTGCCCATCAGCAGGAGGCAGGATTTGGCCTCTTCCTAGGACATCTCCATGGAAAGGTGTTTCTACTTCTAAAAATATGTTTTCGAGAAACGAGAAGTAGCCAGGGGGATTTCATTGGTTTCCTGTCCCTCCAGCCCACCCCTCTTTCCCAGGAGAGTCTTATTTATACGATATTTATACATTTTAGGTTTCTGCTATTGTTTGGCTTATGACAAGGTTTTTTGCCTCTGTTTTACTCTTATTTTGCTTTTTTAAATCTGCTGTGTGTCCAGCTGAGGGTGCAGGGAGCTGAGAGGCATGGAGCAAACCACTGCCTTTCCCGCCTGTTCCCTCCTCTCCCCTCAAGCAACTGCTTTCTGATCTTGCTGCTCTTTCCTCCCCGTTTCTAAGTAAGAATCCTCCCTCTTCACTCCCCCGTAAGCCCCTGGATTGGGCTCTCGTCCTGGTCGGGGCCTAGGCCATCTGCACACTCCCCTCGCTGAGGCTCTTCCCCGTCCTGCTCGTGCGTCGGTGTGGCCAGACCTGTTCTCAGCGTTAATGTCATCATGACCAGTCAGCACTGCTCTCCACGGAGCTAAGTGTGACGCTGTGAGCACCGGGCTTCTCCGCCTCAGAGGTGTCTACCCCAGTTCAAAATGCTCTGAGGGTGCCCTCGCCAGCACCCTGGCCTGACTCCCAGGCGCCCCGCTGGTGAGAAGGCACAGTGGTGCTGCGTGTCCCCAGCAGCTCTCCCCTCCCGGCCTCAGGGGCTCTTCCCTGTCCAGGCTGGACATTGGGCATGTTCTTGAACTTTCCTTTGACATCCCGTTGAAGGAGTTCTCTACTTTCTTGGTTTTACTCTCCACTATGAACATTTCCAGCGAACATGTGCATGGGAAGTACATTTTGTTGAGTCTCTGCAAACCTGAAAAGACTTTATTTTGGTGTCGTACTTGATGCAGTCCGTTTACAAGTACGGTTTCGGATGACATCGCGTGCATCAGGACGGGGAGCGAGGCATTCCTGGGCTCTAGTGGCAGTGTCGCCCTGGGGAGGAGGTCAGCGTTCACTGCTTTTCTGTCGCTGTTTTCTCCTTTCAAGCGCTTCTCTGAGCTGTTGCTGAGCCCTTGGAAAACCTCGTGTTCCTGAGTCTGAGACCTCTCCTTGCGGTCTGGGACAGCCCTGCCCCCACCCTGGCACGCTCCTTCTCTCTTTCCAGAACCCTTGCTAATTGAACATTAGACTTTCTGAATCGAACCTCTGAGTTTTTGTGTTGTTTTGTATTTGTGCTCCCGTTGTCTGCTTTCTGAGAGGTTTCCCTTTACCTCCCGGCCCACCCACGCAGGCTGACCTCTTCAGCTCAGTTTGGATTTCCTAGACTCTTCCTCGCCCTCCATGCTTTCTTTTGAAGTAGCTCTTGTTTTTGCTTCATGGGAGGTTGAAGTTGTCTTCAGTTTCTGCATTCTGTTTCCTCTGCGTCTCAGTGTTTCTTCACTTTGGTATCTTTGGTTTCAGTGGAGGCTTTCAAGTGTTTGGGGACAGTTGGCTGTCCTCGAACTATAAACATGAGCTGCCGGAAAGCCGTTGGGTGCAGGGCAGGTGCGGGCCATGGCGGGCCGCCTTCTCCGCTGGCTGGCCTCCGGAGTGTGTTCTCTACCCAGTGTCTCCAGAGAAGGACTCTCAGATTTCTTGCCCAGGGTCTAGGCCTGGCTGTAGGGGCAGGAGTGGGTTGGGGTCTCCCATTTTGTGGGTAGACTTTTCTCAGACTTTTCTCACCCCCATTCCTGGCTTTGCATCTCATTCCCACTGTCCAGCTGGACCCATGGGTCCCCAGGCTCCTGCAGGGCAGAGGGCAGATTGGTCGTCTGCAGAGAATGATAGAGAGGGTCTGGGGGCTCTCGCTGCTTCTTAGACAGACTTCTGACCAGTCTCCTAGGCTTTTAAATCCCCACTTGTCCAGTCCTGGGCTGTGCTGGAGCTCAGCAGGGCCCGTGGCCATTCCGTGCAGAGGCCCTTGGCTTCCTTTCTCACGTCACCTTGTTGGCACTCAGGCTCTCTTGGGAGCATCCGTGAGGTCGAGTCACACAGCCAGCTGTCACTTTGCCTCTCTTTGAGCCTACATTTGCTTTAACCGTGCACAAAAAAAGCAACACTGAGCATTTGTCAGATTTCATGAAGAACATATATTAATTGAGACAAGTAAGGCAGATGAGCTAAATTTTGGCCCTGGGTGCTTTGGAGTTAGTATTAAAAGTTCATTTCCTATTCTTTTTCCTGCACACGAACACGAGTGTCGAGGGGTGCCCAACACCATGGCTCTCAGGCCTTTAAGAGATGAATACATTTCACAAACACTTAGGCCTTTATTAATAATCTTGAGTTTTAAACATTTCAGAGGCAGGTAGTGTCTTGTCTCCTGTAAGTCAAAAATTCCGCTTCGATGTCATTGAGGCTTTTAGAGAATATATCCGAAGTGACCTGGAGCCAATGGAAGTAGAGATAATACAGTGACCTCCCGAAATTGAGTTCCTCTCCTTTCAACTGTGTCTGTGAAAACATCACATGGACGGTGGTTGGTCTCTTCAGTCAGATTCCTGCATGAGTCCTGGGTTGCCGCGTGCACAGCAGCAGAGCTGTGCCCAGTGTGTCTGCGCCCGGCCCCGAGCGAGCGGTGCTGCTGGCCTTCCTGGTCCGTGTCGTGTGCGCCGACGACACCACCTCCACAGGCGTGCTGGGTGTGAGCGGCGGCGCCTGGGGCCTGGGGTCGGTGGGTCGGAAGCCTGGCCCTACACACCTCAAATCTTTCTTATGTTTGTGTGAAAGACACGCATGTAACGAGTGCTGTGTGGGTCCTTCCTTTAGGAGGGAAACAGGCAGAGTGTGTCCCTGCTGTCCTCAGGGGCGACGGAGGCCGCGTCTGCGGTGGCTCCTGAGGCGTCTGGGCCAGCGGCGGTCGCCTCGGTCCCCCGTGAGCCGGGTGTCTGCACTGTGTGTGCCTCTGTCTTTCCCTCCGTTCAGCCCACGTGGCCGCCTCTCGTTCCTGCCTTCCCGCCTGTTCCTGCTGACTGCTCAGATCTCTAGGCCAGGGTGTGGGTGTTGTCACGGGCGTGACACGAAACCGAGCGGTGGGCTGGCTGGGGCCGTGGGTCTCCCCTGTCTGCGGGGCAGTGGCTGCAAGGCCCTCCAGGCTCCTGCGTCAGCGCCTCGCCGGCCGAGGGGCCACTGAGCGTGGAACAGCAGGGTAAATAGAGAGAACGCAGAGGGAGCCGCCCCGCAGGTGAGCCCGTGCGGCCGACACGCGCCTCCGCTGGCAGCACGTCATTTAGCCATGAGACCTTTGCTTATTTTCTCCATGTGAAGTCGTAAGCTACTTGCATGTGCCGTGATTTTCTGTACTTTCTAACATTGTTTTTCAATTGTTTAAAAGCTTCAGTTACAGTTAAACCAAGATCTAAGCATCTTGCATCAAGATGATGGCTCATCTAAGAATAAAAGGGGTGTTTTGCCGAAGCACGCTACCAACGTGATGAGATCTTGGCTCTTCCAGCACATAGGGGTAAGCGCACGTGACCGCGCGGCCAGCAGCGCCTGGAGACGCCCGCTCGCTGGCTTACTCTCCAGGAAAAATGTACTGCGTGTGCGGACAGGCCTGGTGTGTGTGTCGGTGTCTGGTTGACTGTCCCTGTGTTAGGGCGGAGCGTGGGTCAGACGAGGTCCCTGCCTCAGGGACGTCACCAGGAGGGCCCCGCTGCCAACACGGGAAGTACTTCCCGCCCGTGTTAACCATCTACGGCCACACAGGGTGACGGGGCGAGGCCACCCTAGAGGAGTGCGCAGAGAGGAGGAATGCAGGCAAAACCTGGGGAAGCAGTGACATTTTAGATCTCGGATCTCAGAGGAAGATGAGGTAGGGTGGAAGGTCGAGCCGTGGACAGCAGTCGGCACATGAGCTTATTGACCTTGAGATAGCCTTTGGCCCTGCAGACAGCCCCGGCCCGTCCACACGGAGCCTGCACACCTGTTTGCTCACCTGGATCAGGGCCACACCTGTGAAGGTGGCCCGTCTGAGGAAGCACACACTTGCTCGTCCATATACTGGCCAAGACTTGCTCATTACCCATTTGCAATCCTCATCCCTATGCCCCTGAACCTGGGGAGGCCCATGGCCAGAGCAGCTTTCAGGAGTGACAACCCAGTGTAGCAGCCAGGGTCAGGAGCGATGGGCTTGGCTAGGGGAGTGTGTGACGAGACAGAGGCAAGTGGCCACTACCTGCTGTGTGCAGCCTGACCGGGGGAAGGGGGGCGCCCACGGGGTCGTGTAGGCACAGGTGCAGAGGCCGCTCTGTGTCCGGGAGGGGAGGCGGCCCTGCAGGGAGCCGGCCGGCAGCCTCGGGAGCCAGCTTTGTGGCCAGGTGCTTTCATCGCAGCTTCCGTTCCCTCGGAGGGCACATGCCACCAGCCCCCCTGCAGCCCTGGCCGCCTCCCTGTCCCCCGTTGCCCACGGCACCAGCTGGCTCTGCCCCTTTGCTTCAACCACCTCGGGCACACACTGGTGTCTTTGGTCACTGACTGCTTCCTCCGCGGCCCTGCCTTGCTCATTGGTGTCCCAGGGCCCTGCGGCTGTCAGCGAGGTATCCCTTGGGCCCTTTCTGCGCATCCTCCCTCTGGGGCACCCGCTGCCTGGGCCTGAGGCCCACATTTGTTCCTGGCGTCGGTCTCCATCCTTGCCCTGACCGTGGGCCCCCAGGCCAGCGCCAGTCTCCGTCATCTCCTGTCTTCCGGGGTTCAGCCCTTGTCACTGCCAGCCAGCACCCCCTTTTCTCTAACTGGCGCCAGGCTCTTTCCCTGGGAGACAGTGGTGCAGGGTGGCAGCCGACCCCGGGCTTGGAACCGGGCCGTGAGGTCGCCAAGCAGTTCTGGGGAGGGGACAGGACCCCTCTCCCTTTCCTGGCCCCCAGCTTCTCTCCTGTCCTGCTCTGTGGCTCCTTTCTCTGCTGAGCCACCCCGCCTGCAGGCCACGCCGCCCGTTCGGGGAGCAGTGCTGTCTCTGAGCAGCGGGGCCACATCCGGATAGTCGTCCTGGAAGTGAGGGCTTGTGCGGACACAGTGGTTCGGCGATGTTCAGCATAGCGGTGGGAAGGCTCGGGATGTGATTCGGGCACATCCGTGGCTGGGCTGTCTCACAGCTAGTTCCCGTGGTAGACGAGGGCCCGAGCCCCCGGCAGGCCCAAGGGTGGAGTGAGAGGGCGGGCCCTCCCCGCCGCTGGGCACCGAGGTGGTGCCGCCCGTGCGCGTCTGCGCCGCAGGATCGCAGATGAGTGCTGGCCTGGGCGGCTTCCTCGGAGGTGCCCTTTAAGGTCGTAATAATTTCTAAAACAATAAATCCTGTTTGTTCCTTTTATTTTCTCCTTTCCTACGAAGCATTTTCTGTCCCCTCTTGCCCACGATTTTTGAGACCCAGTCCTCTTCGCTGGAGGCCAGCGGTTTACTGCACGGGGGGTTTGCTTTCTGTCTAGTGCACTCGGGCTTCCTGCCCCCTTTTATTTTATGAGCTTTTAAACGGTATTTGCATTTCTGTAACCTCTACCCTGGGGCCATATGTGGTGGCATCACACCGAACCACTGTCCATCTGAGGGGACAGCCAGCACGGGGGGACTGTGGCACCATGCCGCGGTGACTGTCCCTCTTGCCGCGTGCTCTCTGGGGTCCTGGACAGTCCAGAATAAGGGACTTTGGTGCCGGTAGGTTTTCCAGTAAATGTCTCAGGGTTTCTTTTTTTTTTTTTAATTTATTTATTTATGATACTCACAGAGAGAGAGAGAGAGGCAGAGACACAGGCAGAGGGAGAAGCAGGCTCCATGCACCGGGAGCCCGATGTGGGATTCGATCCCGGGTCTCCAGGATCGCGCTCCTGGGTCAAAGGCAGGCGCCAAACCGCTGCGCCACCCATGGATCCCTGTCTTAGGGTTTCTACACGCGGGCGGTGATTGGGCCTTGGAGAAACCGCTGATTACTGTAGGTAGGGCTCATTTTCCTTTGGTACATCTGACAGTTTTGACAGGTACTTCTGGTTTAATTCTGTTCTTTAAAGTGAACTGTTTTCATCCTAAAAGAAAGACGACTGTAACAGGCACGCCCCCCCCCTTCCCCCGCCAAGCCTTGGGCCCAGCCCTTCCCCGGGCGGCACACACGGACCCAGCACGGGGTGGTGAGCAGCCCTCCGTGAGTGCTTGTGTCAGCTTGCTCTCATGTGCCCGTGATCCAAGTGTGTCGCCCTGTGTCCGGCTGCCCTGCCCCTCTCCCGCGTCCTCCCTTTTAGCCAGCTGAAGGATGGGGAGCGTGTGGACTCTCCGGCCTCAGCTTCCTCGTCCGCAGGACGAAGAGGACGGCCGACCATCTCAGAAGTGACCGTGAGGCTCAGTGATTCACTCACTGTAGGGTGTGCAGCATGACCGCTGTGCTGTGTCTGGCTGGGTCAGAACTTGACCACATGTCCCCAGCATATGGCTCATAGCTGGGGCCTCAGTGAAGGTGTCCCTAAATGACAGATTGAATCCCAGGCTCCGGGGAGCGAGGCCCCATGGCCACAGCAGCTGGGGGCAGGGGTGGCACCGCTGGCCGCATCTCTGAGCCTTCTCACCCTGTGCCCGACCGCGCCTCAGCCTGCGCTTTAACTGCTCCCGGTGCGGGTAAACGCATCCTTCTGTTTGGGACGCTTGTTTAAAAAAAAGAAATGATAAGACTAAAGAGGTTGGGGCAGAAAGCACTATCGCTGCTTAGCAGCTTTTGACTAAAAATTATTCGTATGCTTCTGTTCTACCTAGATAAGCTGGAGTTCCTTTTTAAAAACTGAAGTTCACATTAACGCTTCTTTTTATTTTTTAGCATCCCTACCCGACAGAAGATGAGAAAAAACAGATTGCTGCTCAGACAAATTTGACACTGCTCCAAGTTAACAACTGGTAAGCGGCGCCCATCAGCATGACCGAGCCTCGAAAATGCACTAATAAGTAGTGGAATTTGGTTGAAAATATCTTGAGTTCTTTTAACTAGCAACACTCTGCTACCACAGGGGTGGAACTGGTGGCAGGATATTTGAGAATAAATCAGCGCACACTTTGAACCTTAACCTTTGATGATCGATAATACTTCACTGTGGACTTTATCCTACATCCTGCGTGTCCGGTTAGAAGTGTGTTTCTCCAGGGGCGCCTGGGGGCTCAATCGCTTCGATGCCCGACTCTTGATCTTGGCTGAGGTCATGATCTCAGGGTTGTGGGACCGAGCCCTGCGTCAGGCTCCACACTGAGCATGGAGTCTGCTTAAGATTCTCTCCCTCTCCCCACCCGCCCCCGCTCACTTGCATGTGCGCGCTCTCTCTCTCTCTCTCTCTCTCTCTCAAAAAAAAAAAAAATGTGTTTCTCTTTTGTGTTACTCCTACCCCTAAGCCCCCACATTCATTCAGAAATGTGATGTTTTTATCAATGAGCTTCTTTAGGCAATGGATGGTGGCGATGAGGCATCCTGAGTCCCCCTGTGGCTCTACCACCTTTGGAAACCCTGTGTCACTTTGTCCCACTCTGAGTGGGGGAGGCAGCCCCTCTGCTGTCCATGTGGTGGTCCTGCCCCACGGCAGGACTCGTCCTAAGAGGGGAATGCCTAGGGCAGTGCTGACTTTATTAATGAAGTATCTTGTTCTAGTTTCAGTGTCACAAACCGCTGTGAACACTTGGTCCCACATTTCTAAGTGTGTTCATGTCTCACTTGTACTCACAGAGGTGGGAAATGGTTTCCTCTCATAAAATGGGCATCGATTAAAGAGAAGAAAGCACTAATTTTACCACTTGTAAACACTTATCTTTTTAACTGTTAAAATTTAAACTTGAGGTTCGGGTAAATTCTGATATAAACGACAATCTCCAACATATGCAGTCGTATATGCGGGAGCATATGTGCATATAGTGCTTTGGGCTGCACTAAATATTTGTTATCGTGCTTTTGGGTCATTGTTTTAGCTTTGGGTACCAATAATACAGGCCATGCTCTTATTTCCTATTGAATCTCACAAACAGCATCAGAAAAACAAAGGTTTCACGTGTGTTGTTGCTGTGACATTCATGATAGCCTAGTATGCTCCGTTTTCTCGCGCGTCTCATGTGACACTTCCTGTCTGGGTTCAGTCCACATGATGGTCAATTGATTGATCGGGGGTGGACCTTAGAGTCACTTCTTTGGACATTCTGATACTTCTGAGGCTGAGCAGCAACAAAAGCATCAGAATGTTACTTTTCATCTGTTGACATCCCCCAGCTTGTTCGCTTGCTGCTCTATTATGTTAACACTCGTCTTATCTGGAAGGTTTGACATCAATTTTTAATTTTTAAATTAATAGTTTACCAGCATGACTAGCATAAAATTTCTAAAATCTCTTCATATTTGTAGCTACTTTTACTTTGTGAGTTTCTTTCCTTTTACATTTACGAAAGTTACATGTTGGCCTGAGCTCGAATGCCCTGTTAGCTCGTGCCCGTGCCTGGCAGCCTTGGATGGGAAGGCTGAAGAGGCAGATGCTGCAAGCTTCCCTCCCCAGGCGGCGGTGGGGTCAGGGCCCAGCTGGGGGCTCCGCGACTTCCAGGGCCCACCTTGCTTGTGTTCCAGGGGCCAGGTCACTGCCTGAAGCTCTGCGGCCTCAGTCCCCTCATTTTCATTGTAGAATGTATCGTCCAGTGATTGTAGATGCTTCTGAATGCTAGGATTTTAATTTTTAGACTCTGTGTAATCTCTGCAACCAACGTAGGCCTGGAGCTCTGGGCTGCAGATGATGAGTGGCAAGCTCTGAGCTGGCCAGGTGCCCCTGAGGGTCAGTCAGGATGTTAAGTGTGTTCCGGCTCTGCTGTGCATCTGGGGACCTGGAGAGCGGGGCTTGGTGGCACAGGGCCAGGACCAGCCTAGAGCCCAAGTTTCCAGGGGAGCTTGTGTTTCTCTTACACTGGGAACACAGCTCCTCACCCTCAGAGGCCTCTGCTGGGGTCCGGGGTCAGGGGAGGTGAGGTGACCCCCCTCCTCACTGGTACTCCTGGAGGTGGCGGCGGGACGGCCCCAAGCCTGGCAGGTGCAGCTGTGTCTGCAGCAGAGTGTGTGGTCCGGAGTGCCGCAGGCTTCCGCGGGGGGCGGGAGTGGGGGCCCGGAGCTCCCCAGCCCCCCACCCCCCCGCCCTCCCAGGTCCTCTGGGGGCACCGCTTGGGTGCTGCGAGGGAACGGGCTGAGGAAGGCAGTCTTCCCTGCACATATTTACAGTCAGTGCCGCGTGTTCCCACGTGCGACAGTGTGCTCCCGCCGCTCCACCTGGGTGGGGTTGGTCCCTGCGGCTGACAGTCCCTGGGGGGGCGGCCCCAGGGTGCCGGCAGGGCGCCCGCACAGCTGAGTGACTTAGGGCAGGGGCCCCTCCACACCCTGTCACCTGTTGAGGGCCGAAGCTCCGGCCGAGGCCGCGTGGAGGTGAGCACGAGTGGTGTCGGGCGCTGTTTGTACCGTGAGGTCCGGGCCAGAGGGGACCGCGGGGGATGCAGGGTCACTGCTCGCAGGGCGACGGGACGGGGGATCGGTGGGCAGGGCCGCCAGGTCCAGTCTGGTCCCCCGAGCTCAGACGTCTCCCCTCCCCCACCCCCCAAGCTGGGGGCTGGACATAGCGTCCTGGTGACCGCGCCGTGTCGCCCTCCATCCCCAGGTTCATCAACGCCAGGAGACGGATTCTTCAGCCTATGTTGGATTCTAGCTGTTCCGAGACTCCGAAGACGAAGAAGAAAACTGCTCAGAACAGACCAGTCCAGAGGTTTTGGCCTGACTCCATCGCCTCGGGAGCCGCGCAGCCACCGCCCAGCGAGCTGGCCATGTCGGAAGGTGGGCGCCGCTGGGGGGGTGCGGGGGGGCAGGGGCGGGGGCGGGGCAGCCTTGACCTCCCGGCCTGGCCGCTGTGAGCCGAGGGGCGTGGCTGCAGTGTCCCCGTGTCCCGTGGGGAAGGCGCCGTGTGCAGGGCACCCTGCCGGACAGTCGTACGCAGCACGCCTGCGTCTCGGGGGCCCCACGCCCCGTGTGCTCTGTCCACCGTCACGGCCCCGGCCGCCCTGGTTCATCCTCTCGGACCCCGTCCCCTCTCCCCGCACCACGTTCTTACGTGTGTAGACACGGTGTTGTTAGCTCCTGTTCCCATTTCCCTTGTTCCTATTTCTGCCCAGCACCGAGGACACTCTGGGGCCCTATTTCTCAAATTCATGTCCTGCAAGCCCCCCGCCCCCGGGACCCCGGGTGCCCATCTGTCCTTACCACTGTGCTTTCCCTGGCTTTGGATGCTGCTGCTTATTTCCATTTTGACGGTTTCTGTGTATGTCTTGGGGCTTCACTAACCCCTCTTCTGTGGCTAGGCTGCCCCCGGTCCCCCCTGAGAGTCTTTTCCTCCATTCATGGCTCCACTTCAGAGATTACGGTCACCGTCACTGTTCTCAGGGTCCTGACATCTGTGGGTCCCACGCTGGTTCCCTCCCCAGCGTCCCTCGTTTCCCTGCCTACGGGCCTGCCTGGCCATTTCTAAGTGGACGGGAGGCACTGGGACCGCCCCCTGGCCAGGGCTGGGGCTTCTGCCTTGTGGCCCGTCTTCTAAGGTCTGTTCCAGCACTGAAGTCACTGGGACCCCCTGACCCTCTGGTGCTTTGCTTTGTGTGATCGGTCCCTGTCGGTGACCCAGTGGTGCTCAGTCCTGGGCCCCCCCACAGCCAGGGCAAGACTTTGGATTGTCTCCCTCCCGCAGCCCCCATGCAGTCAGCGCTCAGAGGCCTGGCCACTGTCCTCTGATCTCCGGTGGTTCTCCGCCGGGGCCTGATTGTTTGCTGCGTGCGTGTGCAGACCCGTCTTCCTCTGAGTGTACAAGAGGGCTTTGCACAGCTGTGCTGCCGGAGGGCTGGGTCGGGCCCCTCACAGTGGACTGTAAACCATGCTTTATCTTGTTTCTTGAGTTGCACTTGTGTGCATTTAGAGCTGCGGCTTCATCATTTGGGTCTTGATATGCGGTGGTCTTATAGTTAAATAATTTATGGTTTCAGTTTTTGTTTTCTTTTTTAATTCAAGAATTAGTTTCAAAGATAATAGTTCTCTCTCCCCCTTCCCCTCTTTCTGTCCTTGGAAAAGACAATACCTATATACTGGGAAGAAGTTCCAACAAAACTATCCAGTGAAAAGTGACTTTTCCCTCCATCCTGGCTTCACATCTTCTCCAGAAACCATCCTTATTACCCATTTGTGTTCCCAGTTCATAGATGACACGATATACTGTGCACAGACAAAAGTGAACAAACAGGTCTCTCTAGAAATGTTTCCCAGACTCTGATACATGACACTATCTTCTCCTGCCACTGTCACCTATGACTCCTTCTGCAGACCTTCACGGATGGGCATGCGAGACCCCTGCGTGTGTGCAGTAGCAACAGAGCACCTCACTGTCCCTCGGCTGTTAGGCTGGGAGGCACAGGGCGACCAGCATGTTATAAGGTCCCTGGTCTCTTTTGTGTTCCTCGTGGCACCTGCTTTCTGCCCTGCATGTCTGTGTTCTTACAGTCCTGACCACTGTGGCCTTCGGTGGACCAAGAGCTTTTAGAGCATATTAGCTGAGGGTGGAGGCTGGTTCTAGAGACATTTCCTAATCCCCGTTGAACATCCCAGAAGCCTATACAGGGTCCTAGCAGACAATGCCCAGCTGAGTAACGGGGTGTCTTCCTGTGTGGCTGCTAATTTTAACGTTCTGCTGTAGGAGCCGTCGTGACGATCACCACGCCCGTGAGCATGAACGTGGACAGCCTCCAGTCTCTGTCCTCGGATGGTGCCACCCTGGCAGTGCAGCAGGTCATGATGGCGGAACAGAGCGAGGACGAGTCCGTGGACAGCACGGGGGACAGTGCGGCCACGCTCGCCCCCACCCACCTCAGCAGGCTGGTCCTGGAGAACAGCGACTCCCTGCAGTAGGGGGCCGGCGCGGCCCAGAACCACGGGTGGGCTGGCCTGACTTTTTATAGTTTGCACAGCAAACATTTTACACAGTTTTATTTCTAATATGTTTTATATGTAGATAGAGAAGAGTGCACTTTTGTATTTCATAGTAAGCTTTGAGAGCATCTTTGCTGGTGCAGCGACTTCTTTCAAGTGTGTGTGTGCGTGTGTGTGCGCGCGTGCGTGCGTGTGTGGGTTTTTAAGGAAATTCTTTAAAGGTTTAACGCTAAAAACGTGATGAATGACAAACACCCCCATGAGCCCCTACTTAGACTAAGGAATAGTGCTGCCATTTTCTGAAAAATTATGCAGTTTTAATTTAGTTCTGTGGTTGAAGCAGGTCTCGGTGGGCTGATTTATTTGTGTGGCCCATGGATTTGAAAGAAGCTTCTGCATCTTAAAGCTGCCAGTGCGAGGCGGACACCGCACAACAACAAAAGTGGGCGTGACTCCATGGTGGTCGCGCGGCGGTCTGAATACGCTTAGGTTCTCGCACATTCGGTGAGCCTGTTTCATTTGCTATAGATAAAAAGAAATTCCTATTTTTACCTTGCTGGAATTATTGGATAAAAAGCTATTTTTATAAATTCGTTATGAATTGGATTATGACTATATTGAGGATAAAATTTCTAGAGAAGAAACAATACGTGGTTACTCTTTCAATTTGGAATGTTCTGAACTGACCAAATTTCATGAACCTCCCCAAAGTTAGCTAGCATTCCATGGTTCTCTGTCATCCCAGGGTAGTGGTTTATATTTACTACTATGAAAGACACACCTGTTGAATGAAATTTTGATACCTGCAAATTTTAGTTTATATGTAAATGCTTACACTTGATCTGAACATAGATCTAAAGGTATTGCTAAATAGGACTAGGTGAGTCAGGTGAAGTGGTGGCCAGTAATCGATTAACAGCTCTTACCACCCGTATTTCTGATTTAAATCTGACTACAGTTAAATGGTTACCCTGCCACTTAGCTGTGTGTTGTTTTAGGATGTTTTAGTCGCCATATGTTATGCATAGAATGTTTATTATAAACTAATATAAAATGTCCTCTACCCCACTGGCTCAGAGTGAGGGCCAATAACCCACGCTCAGCTCCGTTCAGCCCTGTTACGTAATTGACATCTCCCCAGAGTGACACGGTGCCCCAGACAGGGGTGACGGCACGACGGCAGACTCGCCTGCCTTTGGTCCTGGTGTCTGTATTTTCTCCTTGTCCGTTGTTGCTTTGGAATTTTGGAATTTCCAGAGCTCCCCCCCCCCCCCGACTTGATCACAGGAGATTTGGAATGATTTTAGGACTTCCATTTCCTGGCCACAAGACGAACCGAAAGAGTAGACTGGGTTTTATTGACTTCGTTTTCATGTATTTGCAAGGGGGGCTCTTTCTCAGAGCGAAACAAGCCACCTTGTCTCATAGTAAAGTCTTTATATGGTCTTACATGGGATGCCCACAGTTTGTGTTTGGGGAAGTCGTCCGTTCTTGCGGTTCAGCAGCGGGAGCTGGCTACAGACCAAGGTTCCACTGAGGGATATTTTGAGCTAGGGCAGATTTTGTTCTGCAACTGATTTTTCCCCCCAAAATTTATTGACTAAAGCTAATCCCAGAGGAGTATTTCCTAGATAACGTAGAAAGCAGTTAGAAATACATGGAGATTTCTCTTAAAACATTTCAAGAGCTTTAGAAGAAAAACTTGACTATCAACTCTCCGCGAGAGAATCACATTTTAAAGCAGCAGTTACATTCCTTATTTATAAGCGATTTGTAATGTTTTCAGTAAGTCTACCCAAGTTTAACAGATCATTTTAACTTGACCTAAAGTCTGACATTGTTGGACTTCTTGAAGCTAGGACCGGTGGAGTCCATCCAGCCTTCCTCCATCCCCAGGTCCCCAGCCCCTCCTATAGCCACCCTGCTTGGGTGAGCACAGTTCTCCAGAGTGTGGACTCCGCAGGTCACCGTCCCCCTCCCTGCCCCAGGATCCCGGAATCGCACTCCCTGAGTCTCCGCTTGTTAGTTGAGGGCTGCACAGACTTGGTCAGTTGGGAGACGGGGTGTGGCCAGGGTCCCACCGCCCAACTGGCCTGAGACTCGGCCCCCTGTGCCCAGTGACACATTATGCTCCCTCTGGCTGAGGCTGGTTTTCTGAGGCTCTAAATCCTTACTGGGTTCTAGGATGAGCCATTCAGAGAGAGGCGCTTCGTCTACGGCCATACCACCCTGAACGCGCCCGATCTCGCCAGAGAGAGGCGCTTCCGGACAGGCCCGAGGTTCCTTCAGACCCTTCCTGGAATCACAGGTGCTCGGCCACGGCCCTGGCACGGCCAGCTGGGCGGCTCGCAGATGGCCGTCCAGCATGTTTGTCGTCAGTCTGCAGGTTCGAAAGCCCCGATCTCCAGCCCTCGGGCCATCCAGGGAATCTTTAGGAAGGGGACACCATCGAGCGGGCGTGCATTTTCAGTGAGCAGATTCGATCCTGACTTTCCGTAAGGATGCTGTGGATGCGTCCTGAGACCCACAGGAAGCATGTTGCTGCCCCGCTGTTCGGAGGCCGAGGGGGTCACCTGCCAGTCCTCCAGGCGAGCTGCAGCCCGGGACCAGCTCCGCGGCGGCCTTCTGACGGCAGACGGCCCAGTAAGTTGAGGGATTTACCCAGTATGCAGAGTAGGGTGGGCGGCCAGGCGCCCGGCTTGCTCCCGGACCACAGCACTGCCCACGCCCTGCCCTCCAGGGTCGCAGGGGCCTTTCCTCCCCCGCGGGAGCGAGCGCCAGGGCACTTTGCTCCCAGACGGGCTCAGATGTTCCCGGACAGTGGGAAAGGCCCATCTCTGGCAGTCAGTGACAGAAATGACTCCGCAGTCTGCCTTTGTTGTTATGTTTGGTCTATGAACTGACAATCTTTAAAATGTGAATACTGTAACAATATGTTTTCTTGGATTGTTGTCTTTAAAAGGGATTTTTGTGAAGCAATTGATTTATCAAAGCAAAAAAATTAAACATAGAAACATGCTTTATGGATGTTTTCTTTTCTAAAGCTGATGTCCCCACAAGCTGCTTTTCCATTTTAAGTAAAATGTTGAGATGGTGGACAGGTTTTGCTGGTGACCTGGGGTTCCAGTGACCCCGCGCACTGTTGAGGAATTAGGATCGTACTGCACTGGGACACTCAGGGCCATTTGCATTTTCAGAAACCTTTCTTAAATTACTTATTTCAGTTAGTCATTGGTATTCTGGGGGGAAAATTGGAACGTTTTTGTTTTTTATTGTAGTTTATCATCAACCTAATTATTTTGATAGTAACAAGAAAACGATTCATCAGTGAGGTCTCGCCTTTCACAGTGCATGTTGTAAAATGACACCCAAGGCCGTTCGGGACTCGGTGAAGAGCTACATTAAAACAATTTCAGAGAGTTTTTCTTTGTAGTCCAGTGTGTTCTGACTACCCCACCCCACCCCCGAACTGTTTATGCTTAGAGGCCACGGTCAGCAGACTTCAGTATTTTTAAAAAGGGCATCTGCGATTGTAAATCTTGTGGGCAGCAAGGAGAGCCAGCTCCGAAGTACATGGTTTCAGGAAATGTTCTGATTGGACAGAAAATGGAGCTTCTGTGTCGTCTCTCCACCTGCTCCAGGTCAAGAGGACAGGTGTACCTGAATTTTTACCAGGTGAGACCTTGGCCCAATCTTTGACCTCTTGAGGCTTCAAGTGCTTTGTTTCCTAAAAGGAAGAAGTTGGTTTATAAGGTTTATTCTAGCTCAAAAGTAATATTTATAACTAATAAAATTCTATCTATCTATCTAGGGCGATAAGTAAATAAGTAGTGATCTAGCAAATCCTGAAAATAAGAAATATATTTGGATTAATGTTTTGTGTTTTGTTATATTATGCAGAGGTCATAAGTCAGGAATGTTTAGCGCGTATGCTGTGTGTATAGACACTTTGTGATGAAATTCTTAACAGCAGTGATTTTTGCCGTCCTACAATTAGATCCACTTGTCTTCAGTAGGATCTAAGATCCTCGAACCATTTTTAAACTAAACTTTGCAAAGCTGCAGAGCTGTAGCATCTGAGCACAGGTGCTGAGATGATGATCCCTAGGTTTCCAGCAGCCCACTCTCCCCGTCACCCTGGCCCCCGACCGGGTCCCAGGTCCAGCCGCCTCCTCCCAGCAGCATCTCCTTAGCTCTCCCGCAGCAGTCTGTGAAGGGCTACTTTATGTGGCTAATTGAATAATTTAGCATTTTACATACAAATAGTATTTAGAAGGTATTACCTGGCACAGATGTTTCCATTTCTCATGTCTTTATTTTAAATGGACCCAAGACTTCAGCCCATGGAAGCCAGTGATGGCTTTAATATAAATGAGGAGTTCTTTTATTGTGGTGTTTGAAAAGGAACATTTTAAGGATGGTGATGGCTTCCTTCCATTGCTTAGACATTTTTTAAGAAAACGGCTTGTGGAAAAGAATTAGGTATATTTTAAAATCTGTTGCTTTATGGTAACTCTGTTTTCTCTAATATTAACACAGCAGTCAGGTCGGAAATAAGTAGTGAAGCCCGTAAGTGTCTACACTGTGTGTTAGTGTAGACCAGAGATCTCAAGCCCAGAGTTCTGTTAGAACGGAACGGTGGGGTTGAGCCAGAGAAGCCAAGACAGGATGGGTTCCAGAAGTTGTCGAGTGTGTGCAGGGCACTGGGTCGGGTCCCCGGGAGGTAATCGGTGGCATGTGTCAGAGTCAGAGAAGCAGGGTGAGGCAGATGCCAGATGTCGGGGCTCCTGGGGAGAGCACTGTGGATCAGTAGAGGAGGAGGAGGGAGCTTATCTTTGTTACCCCGTGGAAGACCTTCTAAGGCCCCAAACACACAAATGACAGGATAAAAGATGAGGGCATCTGGCCAGATCCGAAGGAAGCCTTCCTGTTCAGTGAAGGACACTGCGGACGTGAACAGGTGATAATCTGTGAGAAGGGTTTTTCTTTTCTAACATCTACACCTGATGAGGAGGAGTTCAGACTTAGGTTTAAGGGCAGAGTCCTACAAATCAAAAGAAAAAAAATGAAATCCAGAGGAAAATGACAGAGGATACTACTCGGCAGGTCACGGAAGGGCGCATCCGCACGGCCCACGGGCACAGGCAGGAGCGCCGGCCTCCTAACCAGAGCTGCAAGTCACAGCCTCCTTGTCGCTCGGGCCCAAGGGGGGCAGGCGGGTCCTGAGCCTGTGTAGAAACGGGGGGCCTGTATCCCGGGGTCGGAGCATCACTGGGAGCCCTGCCGCGGGGCCCTGCTCCGGTACTCGGGGTACCGCTGTGTGCCCTGCCGTCCTGGCCGGGGAGCCGGGACGCGTACCTGTGCGAAGTCCGCACGATGCTCCCGGTGGCGTTGTCGGGCGACACCCTGGGAGTCCAGTCGGTTCCGAGGGGCAGGGAGGGCCGGGGGGTGGGCGCCACCAGCTGGGCGAACGTGGCAGGCGGGTGCTGCTGGGGCTCTTGGCAGGGCGGGGGGGAGCGGGGGTGCCTTCGCCGTGTGCCCCCCAACCTGTGATGGAATGTCGCTTCCCTCGGTGGCGTGGCAGGGAGCAGGGTAGCGCGGCCTCCTGGGTGAGGGAGCGTGGGCGCCCACGTGCTGGGTGTGGGCTGCGCCGTTGCTTTGTCCCCGTCGGGCTGCCCGCCGGCTGCGGCCTTGAGCTCGGGCAGGAGCGGGGAGGTGGAGGCAGGACTTCTGTTCCGGCTCCCGCTTCTCAGGGGTCCCGCCCCTCGGGCCTCTGCCGGCCAGCTCTGACTCCCAGGGCGCGAGGAAGTGGGCCTGGGATCCGGGCTGGACCCAGGGTCCAGAAGCTTCTCTGGGCCTCCCCAGTAGTGGTCTTTACGGGGGCAGCGGAGGTGGCCCCTCCCCTCGTGGATTAAGGCCTTTACCTCACAGGAGGGAGCGTGGGTCACGCCTGCACGCCCCGAGGGGTCTCCCCGGCCCCGGGCTACTCCCCACGCACCCAGCAGCCCCCGCGGGCGTGAGCGGCTCTCCCTGGGCCAGGGTAGGGGCAGCTGCCGCCTCCAGTGCTCTGCTGCCGCTCGTCCTGCCCTGGGGGCCTCTGTCCCTTCGGAGTGGAGTCCCGCGAAGAGGAGGGTCTTGTCGGTTGTCGGTGGCCCCCGTGGTGGGTGCCTGTGGTCACGGCTTCTCCGGAGCCCCGGGCCTGTCCCAGGCTTCCGGCAGGTGAGTGGCGGCTGCACGGAGCGCACCTGCCCCAGGACGCAGGCTGCGAATCCAGCCCGGGGCCTGCGTCCCGCGGGGGGTGCCGGGGGGGGGGGGTCACGAGCTCTCTGCCCGGGGGTCCAGGAGTGAAAAACGGGAACCAGGAAGGAGACATGGGACTTGGAAGTCATTTTTACTCAGTGTTTGAGGGGTGGTTTCGTGGTGGCCCGCTTCCCGCTGGGCGCCCTAAAACTGCTGCGTCTCCATGCGGCGGGAATGTCTGTGTTCGGCCGTGGGGTGCCCGCGGCTGGTTCGGATCCTCCAGCGCTGGGCGCCCCTCCAGGACTTTGTCCATAAAGTGAACCCCTTCTCTGAAACCTGGCTGAGGCTTGGGGAGCCCTGGCCGGGGGACGCCGGGGGACACCTGGCACTGTGCCCGAGGCTCTGACCGCCCTGCAGCGCTTCCACCGGGACCCCTGGGCCCCTCCGGTCTCATCCGTGGAGGGGAGGTTTCTCAGTGTCCACACGGTGCTTCACGGTCTTCGCCTTTCTTTGAAGTTGTCGACTTTTAGTGAAGCAAATACCCGTTCGAGACAAATGCAACTTGTGACTTTAGTCACTGAATTTAAAAAGTCGGCATGAATTTGTTACAGAGCGTTACAGAAAATTGGAGTCCGTTTTACATTTGAATCCTGGGGCCGTCAGCCTGTAGACGCTCTGCTGCCCCCCCCCCCCAGGGCTGTGTTCATCAGGCACCAGGCGGAGCCCCCGACACCTGTGGGTGAGCCCCTGGCGGGGCGCCCACGAGCACCCTCCCTGGCCAGCCCAGGGTGGGTCACACCGAGCCGTCAGAGCACCCCCCTCCAGTTTCAAGGCCGGCTTTCAGGGGCCCCAGTGGGAGCCAGGCTGTGAGGCCCAGCCGGGGCACAGAGCCCACCCCCATCCCTCCTGGTACCTGGTCTGTGTGCCCCCCCCTTGGTTGTGGCAGTGCTGCCCCCCACGCCCTGGCCCCGGAATCCTGCAGACGCAACAGGTCCTCCTCCTTGGTGGCCTGGGCGGGGGGCGTCCAGCCTGCCAGGCCTGTCCGGTGCCTGCATCCTAGCAGCAAAGGATGTTGGGAGAGCGATTGGTGCGTCTCGGTCTGCAGCTTGAAGGTGGGCTTTGTCTCTCCCCACGGCGCGTCAGGAGGGGAGGCAACCCACAGCCCAGGACGAGCGCTCATGGCCAGGCCTGACCCATGCTCCCCAGCCCGACTCAGTGGGAGGAGGGGTCCTCCAGCCCCGTGGGACAGTCACAGGGACTCAGGGAGCTCCATCGGCTGGCCCTGTGGGACACTGGTGTCCTGAGCCAGCTGTCACTTGGGGGGGGGATTCCCTTAAAAAGGGCACCCTCAGGAAAGGGCAGGGCACATCCCCACCCATCTCTGATTTTTCTTTTCCCTTAGGACCGGCACCCCCCCACCCCCACCCGAGCTTATGGCCAACTGACTGAAGACCCCCTTCCCAGCTTCCCTTGCAGCCTGGTGTGGCTCGGTGGCTCCTGCCACCGCTGAGCTGAGCCTCCCCCTCACAAAGTGTTAACGACAGAGGAACCACCGTTTGTAAAGGTGTGTCCAGCGGCACCTGGGCTGCTCCGTGCGGGAGGACATGGACACGGGAAGGACACATGCCAGCAGTCGGAGGCTCGTCATGGAAGGCCTGCTGCTCCGGAGAAGCGATGTCTGAAGGTGACAGAGGGCGACAGCCCCAGGGACCTGCTGGAGGCATCTCCTGAGCCCCGTGCCTGCTGCTTCCACCGCAGCCCTGCCCAGCCAGGAGGCTCATAAAGTGCCCCAGAGACCACCCCATATGGCCACAGGCACCGTCCCCCGGGTGTCAGGCCCCTGGGGGCTGCTGTCTTCTGTGGCCAGCATGAGCGGCAGGGGCAGGAGGCTCCTGAGAAGGTTGAGGGGCCATCAGGGAGGGTTGTCGCCACCAGCCTTAGGGCACAGACCCCACAGTCAGGCCCAGGACAGGGGAGGGGAGGGGAGGCTCTGAGCTCCACGCTGAGCATCCTGTCTTACGTTCTACCCATGGACCCACGGAAACACACTATGAACGTGTGTTAGCAGTTGTTAAACACCCACATTGTTGCGGGAAAGTCAAGTTCCGACCCGTGGGGATCTTGTAATGACAGCGTCAGGTACTAATGCCAACCCCACTTACTACCAGGCCTGTGACTGAGGTCCACAGGGCTCTGACGTTCCTCCCCCTCAAAGCATCCCCTGGAGCCCTCTGTCCTGCCGCGGCGGGAGCAGCCCTTTGTCAGGGGACCTGCCTTCCCCACCATTCTGGGTGCCCTCCAGGATCTTATTGGGTGCAACACACTTCCAGTGCTTTTCAGGACCAGGGGGCCAATTTGCCTGGGTGGAGATGTCTGTGGCCTGCGCCCCAGCGGTCATCTTGCTGTTAAGGGAGGGTCTAGCCTATATTCCTTCTATTCTGGATGTTTTTTAGGCTCTGCTCCCTTGTCTTCCAGCCTCCACAAGCTAGAGATCAAGTCAGATGCTTTTCTCATTCCCAAGACTTTCCCCTGTCCCCACCCACCTCTGGAAGCTGCTTCTGGATCCTGTCCCTAGTGATCTGACAAGTCACAAGGATGTTCCCTGTGAGCGTCTTCTCTCATGCATTGTGCTTGGGTGGTGGAAGGACCCTCAACCTGCAAAACCGTCTTTCAGTCCGGGCAGGTTCTTGAACTATTTCCAGTCAAGTTGTGGGATCCAAGAAGCTCAAAGAATTCTGAGCACAAGACACGTGAAGAAAAATACACCAAGGTACATCATGATTCCCAAAATAATACTGAAAATGAACAAAGCTGGAGGGCTCGCAGTTCCTGATCGCAAAACTTACTACCAAAGCTCTAGCCCTAAAAAAAAAAAAAAAAAAAGGCTCTAGTCCTCAAAACAGTGATATGGCCCAAGGACAGATCTCTTGACCAATGAGTAGAATTCAGAGTCTAGAAATAAATACTTCCATCAATGGACACTTGATTTTCACCAAGAGTGCGGAGACCACTCAATGTGGGGACACACACACACACACACTCTTCAACAGATAGACCTCCATGTACAGAAAAATGAGGTTGGATCCCTATCTCACACATGTATAAAAACTAACTCAAAATGGGTGAATGAATCAAGTATAACAGATAAAACTATATAGGTCTGAGCAGAAAACAGGTAAAATTTCATGACCTTGGATTTGGTAATGGGTTCATAATTATAATACCAAAGGTATAACCAAAGAAAAAAACAAATTGAACTTCAGAGTTCAAAATGTGCACTTAAAAGTCATCATTAAGAACTGGAAACGTTACCCCACAGGAGGGGAGAAAATACTTGCAAATCTCATACCTGGTAAGGGTCTAGTATCTAGAATACATAAAGATCTCCTACAACTGGGCAATAAAAGATAACACAATTTAAAAATGGGCAAAGAACATGGATAGGCATTTCTCCAAAGACCCACAAATGACCAAAAAGCACATAAAAAGGTGCTCAGCATCAGTAGTCACGAGGGAAGTGCAATGAGGAAAACCACAATGAGATACCACACGCCATCAGTTACAAAGCAAACAAACCCCCCAAAACTAAAGAAATGACAAACGTGGACAAGGATGTGGAGAAACTGGAACTTTGTGTATGGCTGGGGGGACGTATGGGGGCGCGGCCACCGGGGAACAGTCTGGTGGGTCGTCAACCTGGAATCACCACATGACCCAGCACTTCAGCCTCGGGGATAGAACCCAAAGAATTCAAAACAGATCTTCAAATAAATGCTCGTACACAAAGGTTCACGGCAGCCCAGTTCCTGGCAGCTGATGTCCTAGATGAAGGGACCAACAAAACGTCCATCCACACAGCGGACCATTACGCAGCCACGAAAAGGAACGAGGCACGGAGCCTTGCTACAGCGCGGGTCAACTTCAGGAACATCGCGCCGAACGAAGCAAGCCAGACGCAAAAGGTCAGATTGCATGATTGCGTTTATAGGACGTATTCCAAACCAGTAAACCCACAGAGACAAAAAGCAGATGGGCAGCTGCCAGGAGGGGAGGGGAGGGGACCTGGCTACACGGCACCGAGACCGTAACATCTTTAAACTGTTCATTTAAAGGTATGAAAATTTCACCCCAATCACAAAGCCCCAACACCCCAGTCGCTCTGACCGCCCCAGGCCCCAGCAGACACACGGACCCCACACCTCCCTAGCCACCTTCCTGCTGCTCCCCAGTCTGGATTCTTCTCCAGAAAAGGCACCTTCTTCTGCTTTTACCCTCCCACCCCTACCCCGGTGATTCCGTGGCCTCATCCACCTGGTTGACTTCTTGTTGAAACTCAGATTTTCTCATTAAAACGTTTTAGAAGAAAGTTAAAGAAAAGCCCATGCGCTCCAATAAACCATAAACAGACTCATTTAGGTAGCCAGGTGTCACTAGGGGGGAAGCTAGCACTTATGCGGGTCCCGGGCTAAGCACCCTACACCTGCTCCTCGCACCCATCACGTTAGAGCAACCCCAGCGTCAGGCGGTTAAAAATCACATGTTGGTTGGTTCAGTGTCTACAAGAGCAAAGGAGAACGGAGCCCACCGGCGGCGTGGGGGCCGTCAGAGCTGGACCGTGGCCGAGGCAGGTCTGGGCTCCGGCCCGCTTCCTGACTTGGTCTTCTGCTCCCGCTCCCGGGCAGCCACGAAGTTCAGCAAGTCGATGGCAGTGACGACCCTGAACACCGTCTGCCTCTTACTGGACTTCTCACTGCCATGGCCTGAGGGGGAACAAGGCGGTCGGTCTAAAGGCCCCTCCACGCGAGTCGGGGGAGGCAGCCACGCCCACACCCAGGCCCTCGGGAAGCAGAGCTCCTGAGGCCTCGCCCGAGCCCGCAGGTGCCTGGGTGCCGGAGCCCGGCGGCTCCCAAGCAGACCCGACACCGAACGCCGTCTTCTGACACGAGCCGTCGGGGCGAAGCTGCAGAGAGCGGGGCCCTGGCCTCCCCGCCCCCGCTCTCGCTCCGTCTCGCTCCATCTGCGCGTCCCCCTTGGTGTCTGACACTCGCGTTGTGGCGTGAGGTTCCCACGCTGCCCACACCCGTGAACTATACCGGCTCACGGCTCCGGCCGACTTCAAGCCCAAGCTGTTCTCTCGGGCCTGGACGGAGCGCCAGCCCGGGGCAGCCACGCTGTGCTGACAGCAGAGGGTTGGGGGACGGTTAGTTTGATGTGTCCGCTTGACTGAGTCACAGGGTGCTCAGATATTTGGGCAGACGTTACTCTGGGCGTCTCTGGGCGAGACCCGATACCGCATCGGGGACACGGAGTAGAGCCGATGGCCCTCCCCGGCCTGCTGAGCCTCCCCTAACCAGTCGAAGGCCTGAACAGAAGGAAAAGGCTGGTCCCCCCCCAGCAAGAGACCATCTCCCGCCTTTGGGCGCAAACCCTAACATCGGCCCTCCTGGGGCCTGAGCTCTTGGGACCTGCCGGCCCAGTCCTCATAGCCTCCTTCCCTACGAGGAGCGGCTGCAGAGGCCCAGGTCCCATCTCTCCCCAGCACCTGTCCGCGGCCTGCCCTCCGCCTCTCAGGGCAGCGGCCACGCAGGGAGGGGGGCTGGCACGGGGCCCCCGAGGAGACCGGCCACGCACAGCCCGCAGGAGTCCGCAGCTTTGCAGCCCCTCCTGGAGGGTCGCCCGGCGCCGGGGCGTGCAAGCGCCGTCAAGGACGTGGCCTCGGGCCTCTGGCTGGGCCTTTGGGCCGAGCCCTCGCTCTTGCCAACACAGCTGGAAGCAGCCGTTGGAAGAGCTGCCACGTGGGCTCGGTCCAAGGAAACGTCACTCGTGGACCCTCAACCTGGAACCCCTTTTTGGTTCCCTAGATACTCGAATACGAGTGTGAGACCAGGAGGGCGAGCCTCCCGCTCAAGCCTGGACACCCTCCTTTGCCCACGGAGGCTGCGATGCTGACGCAGAGCCCACTCTGGGGGAGGGGGTACATACCTGCAGGCCCCCCCACCACGCCCAACACGGCCAGGCCCCGCGCTGTGGAGCCAAGGACGGGGGAGGGTTAGCCTCGGGCTGGGGCAGCCCAGGCCCAAGACCAGCCCTCACCCTCCCCAGAACTGGAGCGGCAGCCCCTGGCCTGCGGGCACGAGGCGCGGCCTGGAAGTGGCTGTCGCGTGGTGCTGCGAAGGCCCGGGCTGCCGGGGGTGAAGGTCGGCGCCACCGACCCCCAGATGCCCTTCGAGGGAGCTCGCGGCAGGAAGGCGCACGGAAGCGTGGGCCCGGGCCGTGGCAGTCGGCGCCCCCCACCTGCCCCCCGCCCCGCCCGCGGCAGGCCCCACTCACACTGGATCTGCTCGTGGACCACCAGGGCGAAGTGGTCCATCTCCAGGATGTGCGAGAGCTTGCCCAGTGGGTCCGTCAGGTGGATCTGGAAGGGAAGCGGAGGTCAGCGCTCACCGGGGCCGCCCAGCCAGGCCTCGAGCTGGCCGGAGCCTGAGGGCCGCTGCCCCCGTGTCCGCTGCCCCCGGGCCCTCCGGCAACGGAGCAAACACAGGAACGGCCCGGAGACGACGAAGACGGGAGCCCCGCCTCTACTGCGCTTTGCCGCCCGTCACACGAACGAGCACCGACCCAGCCTCGGGGGGGAAACCCTACAGAGAAGGGGAGCGGTGGGGACTCGCCCCGCACCATCCGCTCGAGGCCCATCATGGGAACTTATGGGAAGAAAGAAAACAGTCACTTTGGGGCCCCCTGGAGTGGCCCGCGTGCCGCCCCAGAGGAAGCGTGTTCCCAACGAGATGGGAAAGGGATTTGGGGCTACGGGATGGACAGGAGATCCAGGGCGTAAATCGGGGGCCGGGAAGACCAGCCACGGATGGAGACCCCGGTCCCCACGGCGGGGGGAGCAGCGGCCACCACCCGGCCCATCACCCTGCTCGGGCCCTGGTTCACCACCAGCTGACCCAGCGCCCAGGTCCAGGTGGGCGCCCCCCACACGCTCACACCACAGGAAAGACCTGAAACGGGGTTTCTCAGTCCAGCCTCCTGGGACCTTGCTGGTCACAGGGTCCCTGTGTCCAGAGGGAAGCTGTTTGCCTCAGCGAGAGGCCTGGATGCCCCCGTCTTTGTCCGCACGTTCTCTTAGCAATCAGCCCAAGAAGGCCGCTCCGGGGACCGGGCCACCTCAAAGGCCTTCTAGCACCCCCGATGGACAGACCCTTCGGCCCCGGGACACGGGGTGTGCGGCCCTCCAAGGCGGCCTCTCGGCGAGCTCATCCGAGGCTGTAATTCCAGCGGAAAGCTCTTTCCGGCCTCCAACGGCCCAGAGGGAGAGGCGGGGTCCACGAGGCGGGGTCGGTGGACGCCTGGGCCCACAGCCCACCGGGAAGGCTCGCGGCCCGGGGCTCTGCGCGGGGCCCTCCAGCGACCCCATCACCCCGCAAGGTGCCCAGGGGCTTAGACGGGTGTCACCTGCAGTTAACCATGGCACCCGGCGGTCCCCTTGAGGGACCTGCACAGTCCTCCCTCCCCACAGCCTCCACTGCCGCCCGCTCCTGGGGAGGGGCCCGGGGGCTGCACCAACCCCAGGTGATCTCCCAAGCCCAGCGGCCACACCGCAGCCCGCCGGCGCCCTGCCCAGCTGCCCTGGCCACGGGGGAGCTCTGGGGAGTCCAGGAGGCAGGTCCCACCGGCTTTACGCTGCGGCCCGGAGACCCCGGCTCCACCCGCAGTGGCCCCTCGGTGTGTCGCCCCCACCAGCCCTGCCTGGCAGCTCAGCGAGGGACACGGACACCCGGGGGCCCTGAAAGGAACAAAAGGGATGCGGGCGTTGGGGGGCACCCCCCAGCTCTGCCTCCAGCCCTCAGGCTCCGTCGGAACAGAGGCTCCCCCGTCGGCGAGGCTGGCGGGAGGCACGGCTGGGTGCAGCCAGTCCCGGGGCAGCAGCCAGGCACCCAGTCAACCCCAGAAGGCCCGAGACGCGGCAGGGGGTGGGCAGGACAGGGCGCTGTGGGCAAGGAGATGCACACGTGCGTACGCGAGTCTGGAGAGCACAGGGCACCTGCAGGGGCAGGGACGTGCACGGCCTTGGCGTGCTCGGGGTCTGCGAGGGGTGGAGGACGCCTCTAGGTAACCGTGGGGAACACGCTCACAGCGTGGCAGTCACCTCCATACACGGGAGGGAAGGAACCCAACAGCCTGGCTCGGCAGGGCCGGCCAGCCATGTGTGTGCGACACTGGCTGGGGACCCGGGGGCCAGGCGGCCTCACAGAGCTCACCCATGTGCTGGGTGCTCTGGGGGTGACCAGGGGCTCAGGGAGGCCATGAGGAGGGACGACTGAGCAGAGGCCAGCAGGAGGGGCAAGGCGGGAGGTCCAGGGAGCACAGTACAGGGTACAGTGGGAGACGGGGATGGGGGTGGGTGGGTGGGATGGGGGGGCACAGAGCAGTAGGGATGGGATGGGGAAGCAGTGGGTGGTGGTGGGGCAGGGGGGTGAGAGGGTGGGAAGTGGTGGGGGATGGGGGGGATGAGGGGACTGGGAGCAGCCTGCCCTGCCCGCCTGCCCAGGGCCCCACTGGCCCCGGCTCATCTCCCAGAACATTCTAGTTCTCACTGGATCCGGGGCTTGCCAGGGATTCCCCAGGAGTGCGTCCAGGAAAGGCCGGGACCCTGCGTGGGGCATGGTCACGCCCCCAGATGCTGGCTCGGCCGAGGAGATGGCCTCTGGGCCTGCTGCGGACCCCCAGCCGCATGCTGCCAGACCTGGGGGTGCCTGCGCCCTGCCCCGTGGCCTGGCCGGGGCTCCCACCCGAGCCGCACCTGCCTCCAGGCAG